GAACGATTAACGTGCTTCCTATGTAATTGCTTTTAACCATTTCAATATTGGATGTAGAAATTAATTCTGTGCCTTTCCAAGGTAAACTTACCATTTATTTGACAAGAAAAACTAATGCAATTTATAGAGGGTCTCACCACGTGGAGGTTGCTGCGAGCGGAGACCCGATACAACCTTAGAAACTAAGTGCGAAAAGACGAAAATAGAAGGACATTATACTTGACCGTAATTTGATATTTGATTAGGATTCTTGTGACTATAAAATGACAGTAATTGTTAACATTGAACGGACACGGTAGGAAACTCCGAAGCAGATAGACTAACTTATTGTTGTTGAAACATGCCCCGTAAAGTTTTGTACTGACAACCTTGTTAGAATTTAGACAGTCCAGCTTTGGTCTAAGCTGTGTAATCTCGAATATTGCGTTCCTTCGATAATCACGGTACAAACTAGTATTTGACTTACTAGACAGCTGATTTGGGTAGTTAGCCTTCGGAAGCCAATTCAATTTCGACCAATATTGTCTGTCGAGTTCCACGAGTGCGTAGTTCTATAGTATACAGAACATTCAAGGCGGTATTGCTTTTTTTTATTTACAAATACAATAACTTACAATTCTAGGTCAGCCAAATGTGAATAATTGAACAGTATTAGAATATGTACGGCCATCCAAGGTTACCATTTCGATGGATTAAAGTAAATTGAAATAAACAAAATACAAATCCATTGATATAATTTTTGGTGAGACACTTATTAAGCAACTGTAAAACTCGCAATTTTCAATATTGTTTTAAATTCTTCAAAATACACGTGAACGTTGCTACAAAAATACAATAGATAGAAATTTCAGTGAAAAACATGGTTGTCCAAAATATCCAATTTTGTATGAAATGGCCTCGCAAGCAATGAAATTGTGTTAGTCACCCCCTCGATGATGGTGTTTAATGAAAATGTAAAGCGCCATAAATATCTTTTCGATTTAATTTGGAACATGGTAGTTTTCCTAAATTATCGACAAGTATTCATTCTGGTATGAAAATGTTCAACGTAGTTTGAATATTGATGGGGCTGCTTCGCCACCAGAACGCTTAACAAAACAACGTAAAACTAATTTGTCGCCGCTGCCAACACCGTTTAACGTATTTTAGTGAAAATATCCGAAAAGCCGTCGGAAAGAACGGAGGCGTAACGCGAAGAAGAGGAGCTGGTTACCCTAAAAAAATTAGTATCGAACGAAAATGCCAAAACGAATCAACTTTAGCCTACTTAGCCAACATACAATTTCTCTACTAATTTCTTCAGACGAATTATGAATCATTTATGAAACGAGGAAACATTTATCGCGCTGATTTACCTCTACGAAATTCGACGATACAAATAATCAGGTATCATCGTTCGTTACTCATTGAGGCATGTTTTCCGATTTGTTTCACTCGCACTGATTGCGTATTTTTATGCAGAACATCAAAATCAACCTGTAACGATCCGAAGTTTTGGATTTCAATTTCGTCCTCTGGAAACATTTATGCATCCGTATTAAAAAAAAAAAGAATAACAATTTCGTTTTTAATTCCTCTTAATATCAATAATCGATATCAGGGGTAGAAAATCTGCGCCTTTCTAAGATAAATTCATCGTATTATAATAACATTAAGTCGATATTAATAGTTGAATGCTTTTGTTTTTATAAATCAATGATACATTCACCTTAAGAGGGTACAGAATGAACTTCTTCGCCTAATAACATCAAGTAAACGATTAAAAGTGGAATAATATTTCTTTCGTAAACAAATGATAAGTATATTTTAGGAAGATTTATTTCAGATTTATTTTCTACGCCTAGTAAATGCCCCCCGACATTGTAGCATCGCCGGTGAAGTCCAAATTGGCTATTTCCAAGTATTGTCCTTTATTGCGGTTATTTTCACCGCTACCAATCGTGGCAATGGAATGTCGCATCACACCAGGATACCAGGATCGTGGTTGTTCAGATTTACCAATAGTTTCGGCATGTTCCGATGCGACCGAACGCTCCCGCGTTCTTGACATTTTTCCATCGCGAACAGCATAGCTTCGGTCACGTACCTCGCGTACCATTTGCGCAAATGCGACGCTAAAAACAGTGTATACGATTGCGCATACCGAAACCCTTCGGCTTCGTGTCGTTTCTCAGCAAAAAATTCCGTGCTCAACATTCCATCCACTGTGTTGGAATGTTCGTTCACATGAATCCAGTTGTTCCAGACTTTGTTATGAGCATATTTTCCCCAGGCTAATGTGTTGCATGTATTTTCATCGTATCGATATAGATAAAATGTAATATGTATCATACACACTTTTGAAAAGTATTTTTTTCTAAAGTTGATCGTTGATAGCTATATTATTAAACTTCATATCCAAATATATATATATACTTATTATTTCATGAATGGACTGGTATTTTTTGGTTTTCATTCGCGTTACATTTTTACTTCACGTTGAAATACACGTATTTCGTTGAATAATTAAATAAATTGTGTTCGTTTTGGTTTTTCTCAATTTAAAAGATTTTTCAATGAAAATATCGAAAGACAGAGCCATAACTCCGCCATTGCGAAACATTTTGTAAAAATAAAAACACTCTGAAATCGTCGCAAGTAACAATAAATAATACCCAAAGCTTTAAAAATATATAACAAACCATACTCTTAAAAAAAAAAAAAAACAAAAATCACAATTACCTAAAAGCGTTTTCGTCCCACTAGATAATCCAAATAATACAACGACCTCCAAATTTCAATCTCTATACACATTTACATGCGCGATTAGGTTACAACTCGTCACTTGTCGCGAACTAGCTAGTCAGTGGTATGCATCGAACTCACATTTAGGTGTTTTCGCGGAATACCGTGGTTCGCGTTGTTAACACGTTTGAACCTATCATACAGTTGGAAAAGCGTCCACCACAGACACCGTTACGTATGTAGTAATTAGAGTAAACCTAGCGAATGCTTTTAATTATGCGCAAATTAAACGTATCAAACGTACGCCAACCGAATATTTCGAATGCGACGAGGCATCCCGTCCCTCGTGTCGTTTCATTTTTTATGAGAGCTCTTTGTTTCGATGCACAACATGAAAGATGAAATTAAATCTAATTGCTCGAATGGAATTGCCACGCGACTGAAAAATGTAACGAAAAGTGTCGAGAGGCAAGAAGAAGAAGAAAAAAAAAAAGAGGAAAAGAGAAAAAAAATGTTCAGTCTGTAACGATGGAACCGCTTAGACAACCGCTGAAATAAAGTAAAAAATATCACGTGGATTATTCAGTTTTCAATGGCCCCGCGATGCTCGTACATATACGCAGAGAGATGAAAAGAATCATGTTATGCGACAAAAAAAATTGCACTTACACCATTGCGTCGTTAAAAAAAAAAAAAAAAAGAAAGAAAAATTACGTCTTGGAAAGATGGTTCTCGTTACGACATTCAACTCGTCTCTGGGTCAATTTTTTCTATTTCAACGCGAAATCTACCCGCATATTCCAAAATTTGATAAGAATCATTTTCTTGCAATTAATTCCCGAGGAAGAGATTCGTTTCGTAGCAATTCAATCGGTTAAGCACTTCGAACCAGCGAACTCTTAGCTAGAAAAAAATGTTCGTAATTCGAACATATAAAACTGTAAAGTTATTCGCTAATCGGAAAGAGGACAACGATTGCCAGCGAGTTGGGAACACCAAAGTGACTTCGGTGATTAAAATTTATCGATAGTGGTGACCGTGTCGGATGCAGACCGTTCCACCGGATCTCCTCGGGCGTGGACAGGACGGTGATAGTTTCTGCCGAGGAGTTAGGCTGGTTCCGGAGAAACCTAGGGAGGACCACGAGGTCGTTGGTCTGCAACGCGGGGGTTAGAGCCTGGCACGGTCACCTGGGGCGCTACAAACCCTTCAGTTTGTTGAGCCGGTTGGGTCCTTCAACTATCGAGCTATTTCGTCGAGCAGTTTCAGACTCTCTGTCCAGAAACGTCTCGTTTCTACCTGTCGCCATTGCGATGCACAGCGAACTGGTGTCGCGAAAAACTGGATCAAACCGGGGAGAGTTTACAGATTTTCCATGAAATTTTACTTATCAAGATTTTGTCGACAGAGGGTGAATTTTATAGAATATTTTTGAAATTTCTTTAGGAATCGAACTAAATCATTGTTGAAATTAATTGTCGTCATAGCTAGCCTTATCTACAACCAGGCGTTGAAAAGATTCCAAAATTAATTGCTTCGAGCCATTATATAAAGATTTCGACTGAAAAAGTTATATTTTAACATTAAATCTTACCACGACTGGACAAATGACTCTTTCCAAACTTTTGTGTACAGTTGTTATATAAATTCTTAATAAAAATTTAACGCAGAAACAATTTCCTCGCAAAGCGAATTAAAAAGTATACGAACAGGGATTAATTTTTGTCGGAGGCGTGACAACGATAATTCTGTCAGTGGCTACGGATTAATCAGAGTTCAGACACTTCTGGAATATAGAATTTTGGAGTGGTCGGTTTGATGCCATGTAAGGAAGTGGTAGAGGTGAAACACTCTCATAGAAGTTGGCGCCAGGCAGAGCACAGTCGTAAGATTTCTCGACACTGTCTGGCCCGCGGATTATCGGCTTAGCCGGCTACCCTGGTTGGCTGAGTTGTTTCTACGAGCAGAAAGGGGTAAACGAAATGAAACCAGCAGTGATTTCTAATCTTTTTGTTCCGCTGCGATCGGCCGTATCCGTAACCTGATACATTCTTTGTTCAGACATTTATTGAATTGCGACGCGCATCTACTGTAAAGACTACCTTCGCACCTTCTGTTTCTTATTAATTTGTATCATTGTATCATTGAACAAACGAATGATTGAATAACTGAAAATACCTTTGATAACTATAACCTGTATATTAATAATAGAATTCTTTAAACTTTGTTGCGAAAAGTACTGGCGACGACTATCCGATCAGTGTTTTCTGTTGCAGGGCCCACCGTAGCGACAAGAGCAGTTATTCAGGGTACAGCGGAGTTGCCGTGTGACATACGTCCCCCGCGACAAAACGACTCCGCAATTTTGGTGGTCTGGTACAAGAGCGACATCACGCCTATTTATAGGTGAGCAATCGCTATATTCATATTACTATTATATCATTTATATGGTTATTTCTTGTATTATTTTATATATAAAAATATAGGATTCAATTGTGACGTTTTCTTTTTTAATCCATTCAGCCATTTTGGTACAAAGTAAAATAAAATAACGTACACTCTTTCAAATATCAATGTCAAATTATGTCACACAAATCAATAAGAAAAACCATTTACGGATCGCAACGTTGCGTAATAATTCAGTGAGCTCTATCAAGACTCTATCAGTCATAAATGACAGTTTACCTCGAAGTTTACCAGTCATAAATGACAGTTTAACTTGCGTATACTAAAATTAGAATGTAAACTAAAAATCCCGTCTGACAATCGACGATTCAATTAGTGATCCGCTATAAGTAGAGACTGAAATTAAAAAGCTTACAGATAGCCACCTGGTAAATAAATCGTTCAATGCGCAGACGTCCAAGCGTGAATATTCTTCGCAAACCAAAAGTCAAACGACGGAATAAACTAGCTTGTATTCGCCGTACAATAGAATTTCGATAAATGCATGGAAACGAAGCCGAACATTCCCGCAAGTATCAAGATTCATGGAATGGTCAACGTAACTGCCCTAATAAAACGAACCCCGCTAACACAGTATATCTCTACCACCTATGGTCGCTATTACCTGATCCGTTCACCTCTAACTTTATTCGATGCTAAATAACCATCCTTTCCACTTATCAACACATTGAAACGAACGAGGTTCTCACGCAATCGTCGAAGTTGCGTTTATCGAACTTGTACTTCAGCAGCACCGATCTCTAACCCCTTCCGAAATTCTAACATAAAAATACCACATACTCAGAAACACCATGTACACACGCCGATTATTTATATACAAAGACCTGGAAAAATAAAATATAATCTGGTAAAAATTCAACACAAATCCCTCCCAAAATTCTAACACAAGAATGTCCTGTTTCAGTTATGACATGAGAGGCAAACATTCCGAGAAGGCTTCTCACTGGAACGACAAAGATCATTTGAACGACCGGGCGTTCTTCAGGACGGTCACGGAACCGGCTACCTTAAATATAAATCACATCGAGGAAAAGGACGAAGGTGAATACAGGTGTCGAGTGGATTTTGCCAAGAGTCCTACCAGAAATTCAAGGATTCATCTCACGGTCATAGGTTCGTATCGCGATTCAAACAAATAACAAAGTGTAATGCGACTAATTTTTGAATATGTTTGTTGCGAACTTTCATGCAAATTTTACAACGATAAATTCTTGTGTACTTAAAATTTCGTGTACGATCGATTTAATGAAACAAGACGAACCATTTTTTGTCAGCCATGGTAACCTTTTTAAAGGAACGACCAATATTGTTCGTCACGGTCAGTTGAATTGCCATACGTTTCACATTGGTCAAATAAAATCGGTTTATAAAGAACGCAATTAACAATCGTCGGCTAGTGAACACCAAACACGTAAAAAATAAAATGAAACACGCGAAACGCATAAATATGCCACGATTACGGTACCAGTAACTACGAATCCAGCTGTACGTATAATATCGAATCTGTAAAACAGAACGTATTTTTTGTGTAAATCTTGTCAAAGCACCTATGTACACAGAGAGGCTATATCCGTGCTTTGCCACACAGAAACGAGCCCGCGCTGAATGGGACAACATTATGCGATACTGGAGCGCATTTCCATAGTACAAAAATAACGGATATGCTAAATAGACTGAAATCTTGATGTATCGGTTCCCGATTACCCGCTTGTAACGCACGCGTCCCACCAACGATGCACAAATTTAACAAAACTGTTACGCGTGGTGGAAAAAAACAAAAACTCACTTCAGCCAAAGGATTAAACAAAAGCGCGTTTCGTCTTTCACGTTGCAGTGCCACCGCACAAACCAAACATTATCGACGAACATGGGAAAACCGTGCTGACAGTGGCAGGCCCGTACGAAGATGGGGGAACTATGAAATTGCAATGCCTTGTCTCCGGAGGTAAGTTCTACAGGTTCTATTTAGTAATTACGATAGATATCTACATATTCTCTTTGTATCCACAAGGTGATCGGCACACAGCGACCGATATATTTACTTTTTACTTTAAGCTTTGAAGATACCAACTTGGTTTCTTTAAAATTTTAATTCTAAGCAGTCCAGTTTTCTCATTTCAGAATTCGATTCGAATTTCCTCTATGACAATTGTAATTTTGTAATACATTAGTAGCTGATTCAATTCTGCTTTAGATCTGCACGTATTTCATAGGGCTAGCGTTACATTTTTAATTAATTCAAGATAAGATTCGTCAAAGTCGTAGTCAAACATGATATATCGAGCACTGGTTTAGTATTTTTTCCCTTTTACTTCGAAGTGCGTTCAAGTACTTGGTATTTTACCTCACGAAGCATGGACTACTTTCGCGTGTTTAGGTCAGGCGTTGAAGAAACCGACGCGATTCAACATTTCCTACGTTGATGACCACATTCGTCGTAACGCGATTTCAAATTGCCAATTCCATGGCTCCTCGCATAACAGCCGGGCGCGCTCGATCGACCCGAAAGACCGCACCCTAACCGCGAGAATATTTTTCGCACGACCGCTTTCACGATTTTTATTTGAGGTCCCTCCAGCGATCATACAATGTTTCGTTCCCTCCGATAAATTGTGTCTGTGCAAATAATCGGTAATGGCGTGCAAACACTCGTTGCAACGGTCCACCCTGTCTCTGTACATACTCTGCAGTGGTTCGCGACAACGTGGACGTTTGCAACAGTGTTCTCAAAACTGTTTGCGCTTTTACTAATACGCGAGACACCGAACGTATTTATTCTAGTCTGCGCGTGGGTCCAATAGCGGTTTGCGAGATCCTTGGCAAAAAAATCTTGTGTAAAAGTAGACCTTCAATTAAAGAGACCCTCGATTCAAACTGTGAGAAGAAGGGTGATATTTACGATTTTTTTCCCGAGAAAATTACAGAAGTAAAGCAAATGTTCGACATTTATTTACAAAGTATTTGAGAGTATTGAAATTCTATTGATTACGATTTATGGAAAGGCTCGGTTTGTTTCAAAAACTGTAGAAGTTGAATTATCTTTTATACAGGGAAGAGTATCGTATTCGAGAAGAACTATCGAATGAGTCTTACTTCAAATTCTAATTCATTCGAATTCTTCTTCAGGTCGTCCCGAGCCTAAAGTAAGATGGTGGCGCGGAGAAATGCTCCTGGACTCCAAAGACGAACCAGGAGAATTCCCTGCTCTTCGTAGGAATACTTTGGTCGTTCAACATCTCTCAAGAGCCGATCTTCACGCGGTATTTACTTGCCAAGCATCCAATAACAACATCAGTCAACCTGCATCTGCCTCCGTGGCTATCGAAATGCACTGTAAGTTTCTTTTACACTCCGTAATAGTTTACTTGAATAATAATTTCGAGTACAGAATTATTAGGTGATAGGAACGGTCTGTCGTAACATGATCAATGGTATTTATTGAACAATCAAAACATGGTTTTATCACAGATCCAAATAACTATTTGGAAAAATTTATTTCTTCCTTGTTAAAAATAATATTCCAGGAGACACTTAATACTTATCCTTTTAATACGGTTTCGCCTCTTAATAATTTATTGTAACATGACACGTCCCGTATCAGAGCTAGACCTAAATTGACTTGAAGGCATCACGGATCCTCACATGGTACAGATTTCGGATGCTTTCGTCCTAGGAATTTCGAGGGTGTTCTTCGTGGAATTCTCGTCCTGACGGAAACAGAGCGAGGATAGTTTATCGCTGCTCCGATGAAAGTGTTCGTCAACCCTTATTATTAGTTCCTCCAAAAAGTCTTCGAAACCACTTTAACCCTAGAATCGCATTCCTATCCAAGAAGCTCAGAAAGCGTTACTTTATGTATTAACTGTAGAAATTAATTGTCTGTCTCTATATTAAATCATTTATAAATCTGAGCTAGACGGATACACGTACACGTAATTTTGGTACGTTAACCCTTCGAAATAGTCAAATTTTAAAAAATATCATCTTATAGAGAATGATATAAGACGAAACTTTTTTATATTTACATTTGATTGGTTCGACGTTCTACTTAAACTAGAGTTACGAAAGTAAAATAAATAATAACTGATCGACTATAAAGGCACAGAATTAATTTCTACGCCTGATACACGGATAATGCTAATTATAAAATTTCGTGTAAACATGGGTTAAGTTTACGAACCCCATCCAATAATGTTAGAAGTACTACTATGATGGTAATGGGAAATAGAGACATAATGAAGCATTCGTTGACTCATTTTTCCTACGTTTCAGTAAAACCGCTAAGCGTGACGATAATGAGTAGCGAGCATGCGCCCCTTAGTGCTGATCGAAAGTATGAGATAAACTGCATGACCGTTGGTTCGAGACCACCAGCTAAATTATTCTGGTACATAGATGGAAGGAAATTGACCAACTACACGGAAAAGGTATTTTATTTATTTATCCTTTGGATGTTTCGTTATTTGATTGATTCTATTTTCAACAGCAATTTGCAAATAAATAAACAACTAATGATAGTATGAGTTACTATGTATATCAGAATGATGATAATTCGATGTATTACGTGAGATTATCATTAGTTTAATATTATTATTTTTAATGTTAAAGATATCCGAAGACGGAAACATGACCAGCTCCACGTTAATCTTAAAGCCAACTTTACGTGATCACGACAAACAAGTAACTTGTAGAGCGGAAAATACCAACGTCCAAGGAGGCTCCATGGAAGACACATGGAAGCTAAATGTTTTCTGTAAGTGAAACATGTATTACTCAAACAAAAAGGAAAACATTTTTTAAGAGTTCTTTCATATCTTCTTTTCTTTTCAAATTTCTTTTTCTTTAATTTACGTGTTTCCTTTCAACATGGCTGTTGTTATTTCTTTATTAATTATATTTGATTACCAATTTAGTATTATTGAGTGTATTATCAGGCTTGTATTGTTAAACATAAAACGTAATTAACTCTGTGACTATAGCGTAGGTGATTAATTCGGTTATAATAGTTGTAGATTTGTTTTCTTCCAGTTATTCCAATTTTGCACCTGGATCTTGGATCCAATATGAATCCAGACGATATCGAAGAAGGCGACGACGTGTATTTTGAATGCAAAGTGCATGCTAATCCTGGTGCCTATAAAGTAGTATGGAAGCATAATGTAAGTTGACACACTGAAAACTCTTGCAAACAGTAGAATAAATCTCTAAAAATTCTCTTTGCTTACCATTAGTAAAGTTTGTATTTCTAATTAATATTTTATATTAGCAAGAGTCTATATATGTCATTACAGGGAAACGTGATTCAGAATAATGCAAAGAATGGCGTGATAGTGCAACAGTATGGCTTGGCTTTGAGGGAAGTCAATCGCTCCCAGGCCGGAAATTATACTTGTATTGCTAGCAACGTTGAAGGAGACGGTTACAGCAACAACGTCGAACTTAAAATTATGTGTAAGTTCTCCACGTGTATATTCTCTAAGCTATCCATTTAATTGATTATTTTATTCAGAAATTATTTTATTTAGTTATTTTATTTTGTGCTGTGTGTTTAAAACTTGAAACAATTTTTAACGAGCAGTTTCATTGTTCGCAGATAAACCTATTTGCGTGCCAGATCAGAAACGCATTTATGGAGTGACTCGTCTCGAAGATGCTCGAATAGCTTGCAGAGTCGAGGCGTATCCTCCTCCGGACAGCTTTCGTTGGACTTTCAACAATACCGAGGAGATGGTTGATGTACCCCAAGCGCGTTACAAAAACTCCACGAGGCACACCGAGAGCGTTCTCACGTACAGGCCAGTCACGGAGATGGACTATGGCACAGTATTTTGCTGGGCTAGTAATACCGCTGGTCAACAGAAGAATGCCTGCGTATTTCACATTATTCCTGCTGGTACGCATACTTATAAATAAACTGGATGTTTATGCAAATTCATGTTTTCACGGACGCAGAGAAAATATTCAAACCTAAATGAATGTGTATGTTTTATGTTTTAAATGGATATTTTATACATTTTTGCATTTACACGGATCCTCATACATATTCCGATATTTCGATCCTCGGTCTACTTATGAAATATGATAGAACAATGTTTGGAACGAGTTAGAAACGTTCCTGGTTAAATTTCAAAAAATATCTATTGGAAATAATTCATTTCGGATCGTTAGGTTCGATGCATTCCTTTGAATATAAAATTAATATAAATTCATTTGGAATAATAGCTACTTCAAACAACGAATTATTTCATTAGTTTTTGCTTCGTAATTAACGAAGAGAATTTACTTTGAGAACATTTTTCCTATGAGAAGTTTTTCAAGAAAATAGTCGTACCAATGGTGAATCACAATAAAAATTCTGTACAGTAGCAACAAATCGAAAATAGTTCGGGATTTGTTGCGGAACTTCGCGTGCTGTACTTTGGAAAATCAATTTTCAAAACTTCTATGAAACTTGTTAGTTGCTCATCTACGCGATAGCCAAGCTATGAAAAAAGAGTCGAGTCAATTTCTGGTTGAATCAGCCTAAAAGAAAAAAACGCTGATACTGTTTTGGCACCACCCCCCTCCTCTACAACTCCGTCAAGTTTAATTGAAATCGGTGGTAACGAAATGGGGAGGATCTCTTGTTAGAGGGGAAGCTGAGTGGAATTCAATCGCTCTTATCTACGTTGAATGCTCCAGGCTCGCTCGACCGTATTTAGATCGGCGAAGAGAGTACAATAAGTAACCGTAAACGAGAAACAATCACGAGTAGAATACTGTGAGGACGTGTGGGATACTTTTACTTTTCTGTTTCAGTAACTCAGATGCAACCTTAAACAATGACGACTTGTGAGATACACAACCATTCCACTATAAATGAAACACCCTATATATTATACACATAATAATATAGTATTTATTTAGATAAATTCGTCGATCTATATGCGAGGTCATTTATTGTAATACGAAACATTAAATTTGAGTTTATTAAATTCTCGGTGGAATTACCGCAACTCGCCAGTCGATCTGTAATTTCGGTTGCTATCTATCAGGGGCATCTTCACCGCGCACCATGAAACATTCAACTAATCCATATTAAATGAAACACCTTGTATTTTTTCATCCATAATAAGATAGCTTTTGTTTAGACAAATTCATCGATCCACATGCGAGACCATTTAATGTAATACGAAACATTGAGTTGAAGTTTTCCAGTGGACTTAACGCAACCCGCCAGTCAGACTGTAGTTCTGGTTGCCATCTATCAGGGGCGTCTTCTCCACCCTTAATAGATAGCAACCAGAGCTACAAACCGAGTAACGGGTTGCATACAATCTTTAAGAACTGTAATAATATCGTTTACAGGTAAACCCGAATCTCCATACAACTGTACACTGTCCAATCAAACAACCAGGTCCCTCTCAGTCGAATGTTTTGCTGGTTTCGACGGCGGTCAACCTCAACATTTCCTTCTCGAGGTCTTCGATCAACAAACGGGAAGACTCCAAGCGAATCTGACATCCAGAGAGAATGCAGCCTTCACTGTTCAAGATTTAGAACCGGGCAGGGTTCTCAATATGATCTTGTACGCTGTAAACGCAAAAGGAAAAAGTGATCCTACACTTTTAGAAGGATTCACTCTTAAGGTTGCGGAAAAGCAAACTGGTAAATAATGCTCCAAATATTCCATGTATGTTCTGAACTGAGCTTCCTAGAAATATGACGTAGTACTATTTGAACATCTTCCACCTATAACAGATAGAATCATATATAGATATTAGGGTTAACCGACAGTTTTGTCTAATTTTTTACCCTATTTTTTATGATCTTTTTCAACGAGACTTGACGATACTCGACGATACATAAATACGTTTATTTAATTTAAAGATTTGGAATTCATCAATTTTCTTGACAGACAATCTCTACCATAGCCAGCTTGTGGAAGCCATATGATACATAATTCTATATATTTTCTTCCGTGTCTATTGAATTATAATATAAATGCACAAAAGTAGTACGAATTTTGTTTACAGGTACCCCGGTACCATTCGAGATCACCCCGTTATTAGGGGGTTTGATCGGAGTGGTTACCGCATTGCTTTTGATAACCATCACTATTCTAGCAGCTATGAAAATCAGAAGTGAAAGAAGGACTCAAAGGCCGAGTGATTTACCGTTAAAAAAAAGCACCGCGCCTAGCTCCGAAGATCTTTACGATACTGACGACAGAAATCCAGACGTGGTGCCAGTAAACAAAGGTATGATATTTATTTATCTCGGCATTTGTGGAATAAATGATCTTATATCGTAACACATAAAGTAGAAATACAAACAGGTCGAACTCTTGTCGTCAGAGCTGGTCTAGTTACTTTGGGAATGTCCAGAGTGTCTCTCTTAGAAATCTGAGTTACGACGAATTTATCATTTTTTTTTTTTTTTATTTTTTATTTTTTCTATTTCTTGGAGAAATCTTCTAAACAAGTCCCAGATTTCTAGGAACCCAGACACCCTATTGATGCAACATGTAGTAATACGAAACGGCCATTAAAAGAGAATGGTAAATTGAACAAATAAATTAAAAAATAAATTGAAAAAATAAATTGAAAGGTTCAGATTACCAATTGACGGGATCAATGTCTGGCACACCTTTGGCTGCGCAAAATACTCCAGATAGACTTCCGCCAGCTTCGCTTTCCATTCAACAAGTAAACCATCTACAAGGATTCCAGCCATATACGCACGACTATAATAATTATCCAACTTTACCAGTAAGTGAAATTTTTAATATTTTACTTTATTATTATTTTACTTTATTAGTTATTTGGTAAAATATCAGTAGCAAACATACCTTTAAGCAAGTCTTTAATAATCTTATTTGACTATTTAAGGAAAATGTAGACAATCGAGCAGTTTGACTTGAAGTACGCGTATAATGCAAACAATAAAATCGCATTTCTTTTTCAGTTATCCGGCGAGATAACTTACGCCGAATTATGTTTAACACGCCCAACAACTTTGTCAACGTTAGCAACCGACACGAAGTTGACAAGCATAAGTGGCGTTGGTGGTTTAAGTACTATTCAGGGTTACGGAAGCGGAGTAATCGTAGGCGGTAAGCCGTACACAAAAGAAGCGACGATTTATGCTTGCATAGACCACAACGCGAGACCGTCGAAAGTTGACGTCTCCAATGGATCGTCGTGTGCGCCAACACCTTTGTCTACGAAGGGTGCATTCCAAGACTTCAACGTCTCGACGATGAGTGGCAAGCATCATCCATCAATAGAAATTGTCACCGTTCGCACACCGTTAATTTCGACTCAAGAGAGTTGCGTATAGGGATGCGATTCTGACGCGCTTAACGTCAACGAGTATTATGTTTAACGCGAATAATGCTGTGATGTGACGCGCGTCTAGCTGCTAAATGAGATTCAATAACCGTTTGCCCTACTATAAGGCGTATAAGCTCTTTGGTGTGCGATAAAGGTGTAAAGTAGTCAAAATGAAATCAATGTCAGACGAACTGATCAGTTTTAAATTATCGAATATAAACGACGGTAGTGAAGGAATACAACGGAACAATGAGTGTTCTTACTATATCAATAATAAACGCGTGAAGATAATGTTAGTTTTTAAATTCTCGAAAGATATTGATCAATTTAACCTGAATTTGATCGATAAGACCGATTTGAACATCTCAATACATATAACTTATCCCATGTAAAGCTATAATATTCTTTAGTTACCGGTATGGAGAAGTATGGATGCGGGAAACGTTATCAGTATTCTTCAGAAATTAATGCACACCTGGTGTCAGTAATCTGTACCATTTACGGGGAATACAGCTCCGTTCGCGCCAAAATGCTTTTAAAACATTTAACGTCAATTCGATTAATGATACAAACTTGATGTACTGGTTGCCATCTACCAGGAGCATCTTCTCTACCCCTAATTGATGGCAACCAGAGTTACAGATCAACTAGCGGGTTCACCCGGTAACTTCATCGCGCCCTGTGAGATACTTAGCAATTCCACATTAAACGAAACACCTTGTATATTTTCATCAATAGTAAGACATCATTTGTTTAGACAAATTCATGGACCTCGTACGGAGTGATTTATCATAATACAAAACATTCAATTGAAGTTTACATTCTCAGTCAATTTAACGCAAACCCACTAGCCGGTCCGTTATTCGGGTTGCCGTCTACCAGGGGCATCTTCTCCAACCCTGCTGTATGGCAACCAGAGTTACAAAATCGACTGACAAATTCACCCCTCGAATTCACTGAAGCTTCTTTTATAAAAGAACCTTTCTTAGTGTAACGTGTCGTATTCCTCTCAAACGGCAGACATCACTGACTCCAAATGTGCATGCTCTCGTTATGTTAATTAAACAACTTTCTTAGTAACTGAAGAATCAATCGGAACCAATCGATTTCACCTGAAATAATAAAATAGTTTGATGATGTCAACATTTTTTTTGTAATATATCATTAATGTTTACGTATGACACGTGCGTTGTTGAATATGGATGATACGGAATTTTTCACTTTAATCAAAGTGGCTAAATTTATTACATACGTTTGTTGCGGTTAAGGAAAAGATTAAATATTATAAGAAAGAAAAGAGAAGTGTAAAGTATACAGAGAACATAATTAGAATGTACGATACATGGTTTACTATTTTCTATTTTCTAATCGATTCTCCATATTTGTAACTAATTTTCATTCGCACAATCTTCGAATACTTCCATTGCGTCGATCTTCACAGGTATCTGATTAGATATTTTGTATTTCCATTGTATACCTATCGTTTTCTAATTTAATTCTATGTGTATACACCTGGTAACATTAATTCGTGACACGTGAGGAGCCAATAACTCGATTCACGTTACTCTCTTGTGATACTATATCAATGAACGGTACTATAGACAGGTCTAAGCGTCTACTGTTGTAAACATCCACTTTTTGAAAAATACTATATTTGATTCAAAAAGTGGATGTTCTTCTCTATGCACATAAAGTGTCCAGACCTGTGTTATGTTCTATCTAGTAGTAAAAAATGTTTACTCCTAATCTCACCGCCTGAAGCACAAGGTCGTTTAATATAAGATGTGGAGTAATGTGAAGCGAGTTAGATAAAATTAGAGGGATGAGGACTGCTAACAAAAACACATGCTTTTGCAGACATTTATACTGGATGCGTGAGACAAGAAGAGATGGAAGTTGGAATGAGGTATGGAGTGAACCCTTGCGAGAAATAGTAGAATTAGTAATGCCTCTGTCGGTAACTAACGCTAACTGCTGGCGTGATCCATGGTCGATACGTCTAATGATTTACCATATGTTTACTATGCTTCAGACTATAGGAAGGTGCAAGGTTACAACACTAGATGGCGTTACTACAACTTTTAAATCGTCTAATTTAAACACCTTTTAAAGTCTATTGATCAATCTAGTAAAAAAATTACTTATTAGGAACGTATAAACTATACATGCATTTATGATATGAAAACAAGATTCCATTAACACCTCTGTGATATATTAACTTTCACGTAAGTTATCAAATGAACAAAATAGTCTTTCAAGTAATCAATACCTTCTATTGGCAAAACATAATATTTTTACCAAAGTTAATTACAACATTGTACCTGCCATCTAGTATTTTAACTCCACAACTGGATGCATACCACAATGAATGAAATGCATGTAGTATTAACTAACAAATTGGCTCCTCGCATGGTAAGTGTGAGTGTTACTGAGGACATAGTTCTCAGTCTATGGGAAATTTCTGTCGTTTTCTTTATTCGACCTTTACAATGTCTCAACGAGAAGCTATAGTGAAATAAATCTATACTTTACTTCTGACTGTAATATAGAACTGTGCAATTTTACAGAATTTTTATGTCTGAAAATATTCAGGACTAATCAAAACAGTTCAATGGTGCCAAGTGAGGAATATGTAAAGGTAGACTAATTACTTCCCAACCAAAGTCATCAATTTTTTTTAATCACAATTTTTGTATATACAATACAATGTTTATAATCAAGATTTGTGTTTGTAAAAATCAATCTCACTTTTGTCAACCAATGCAGGATTTCTATTCTCAAGTATTTAATTTCGTTTAAGGGAAATGTGATTCATATTACGCTTCACCTTTTCAAATAGCCTCTTATTCCCGCGCGTGACCACGTATCATAACCACATATCATAACCACGTGATCGTAAGTGTAGCTGCGCGACATACCTGCGCAGAATCACGCAAATGAATGAACATGCGCCAACTGCGGGATTACGTGCTCGAACTTTATAGACTTCTAACCTAACTTTTAATGTAGATGCGACAATTGCATAAATCTTGATGAAGAAATAACGCCTAGTAAGTAGTTTAAGTTCTATGATATTTAAAATGAAGTATAAAAAAAATATTGTATAGTGTATATAACCTAATATCACGCAGTCGGCAGCATAGTGAATTATTTTACATCGAGAGTTTGATATAAGTACTAATTTGTGGTGAAACTCAGGTTTTACCATTTGTTCATTTCGAAGTCTGTGGTTTACAATATACAGACGAACTCGAATTTCTGTCAGCATTCTTTATAAATTGTTAGAAACCACAGATGGCCTTCCACAACATGATTAATTTTTATAAAATGTGCAACACTAAGCACAGTTTGTCTGTATATAGGCAACTTTATTCCATAAAATTCCACAAAGGAACATTCCATCTTTTAAGAAATCATTGTTTTACAAAAATTTAAGGGGATAAAAACGACAGAACTTTACCACAGACTTAATATATTTCTAACCAAAATATCACTTTATTTATAAACTTTTCAACCTTTATTATTTAGTTTTCATATATGATCATGAAATATCACTACAATTGGGCTAATTTTAAGAAGTCTTGTGCATTACAATCTTGTTTGTAAATATGTGATTAAAGTAATGTAAAACTGCGAAAACTTTGAAAAAAGTAACTAGTGACAATGTTTGGTAGCTTTTTTTAAGAAGCATACACACCTAGGTTTTGAATTGAAGTGTATAAAATATAAATCAGGATTGATGTGTATATGAATGGGTCGTACCAATCATGACTTTGTAAAAAAAATTCAAGTTCATGTATCATAATATTTAAGTTGTATTGTACGCGTATCAGATTTTGTTCGCAAACGATACAATAAAAGACAAGTTTTCAGAATAGCTCTTGTATTTAATCAGAGATTTTGAGGCGTAAGTTACTTTTGTAATTTGTATGCTTAAGAATATGTTACTGTGCCACATGGTTTATTACATCTGTATATAATTAATTTCTATATACTTTGAAAGGAAATTCAGGATGTTCACTACATCCTTTAAAGAAAGAAAAATCACAAATTCTGGCAGACTCCCCTTGATCAAGAGATTTCAATTTTTCTAAATCCTCTGAATTCAATTTCCAATTGAACAACTGAATATTTTCTTTAATTCTCTGGGGATTCGTGCTTTTTGGAATCACTGCAAACCCGCTTTGCAGAATGTATCTGAGTATAACTTGTGCGGGTGTTTTCTTGTACGTTTTTGCTATTTCCACTACTACATCGTTTTCTAACATATCTGGAATCTCTTCTACTTTATTCATCATCTTCACAAGACCTCGAGAACCAAGTGGCGAATAAGCTGTTATAGGAATTCCTTCCTTTTTACAAAACTGTGCCTGCAAAAATATTTTCTGTCAAGAATGGAATTTTAATTGTAAATTGGGATATAACATTAATCTTTAAATCATGACAGAGATTTAAACACTAATGTCTAGCTATTTCGTATTAAAAATGCACGACGACTTACTAATTTGTCCTGTTGAAAATAGAGGTTTAATTCAACTTGTAACATTGAAATTTTTATTTTAGCACTTTTCTGAATTCGCTCGATCTGTCTCGTATTAAAGTTCGATAGACCAATCGCTCTAGTACGTCCACATTCCACTTGTTTCTCCATTTCAGCCCATACTTTCACGTGATCGGTAGTTGGATCTAGTTTCATTTTTCCCTCCTCATCCTTTGGCATATAGTCGTCTCTAGCATCCACAAAACTGAACGGAGTATGAATTAAGTATAAGTCCAAATAATCTAATTGAAGATCTTGCAGAGATTTCTTTATCCATTTCTCGACGTCTTCTGGTCTATTTCCTGACGGTGGAAGCTACGAAAATCCATTTTAAGGTTTAAATTATTTTCAAATGTTTCAAATTCAATTTGTACATAAACAGTGAAGATTATGCAATATAATTTTTTTAAATTAAACTTTAAATACTTTACTGGTAAAATAAGTTAGATATTAAGAAGATAATTAAGCTAAACTAATAATTAAATGATTATCATTTTTAATGTAGAATGTACAGTTATTATTAATACCTTTGTGACGATAAAGAGATCGGATCGTTTAATTTTTCCAGAATCGATCCATGTTTTAAGAACTTCACCAATTATTTTCTCATTGTAATATACTGGAGCTGTGTCGATATGTCTATACCCTGCTTCTAAAGCAATGTTTAAAGCTTTCTTCAAACTGTCCTCGTCAGTTGCCTTAAACAATACAAATTACGTATTATGTTCTTCGTTTCTTATATTCAACATTTTTCATTTACTTAGATAACAGTAAAAGTTGCTATTTAACACTTTACCGACCGGTAACGATTGGGTATATAATTAAATTCAATAATATTCTTTATTTTCACAAACATCAGTATTATTCAATCTCTATTTTATCTATTATAATCGCCTCTTCATTAATATTTATATAATATTTCATACTTAATATAATGATGGTAATATTAAATGTTATCTCAATAGATAACAAAGTTTTAGTTATCCTAGGAAGGTACTCATTAATAGCCTATACTGGTCGGTAAAGTTGAACTCTGTCGTGATGATAAAAATTTCATTACTTTCTCCTGTCTATATTTTTCATGAACTTAGACTTAGAGGTTCGCAACGAAACCTTTTGTATAACGCCTAATAGGTTTGAAAAACAGACTTAACATTTTGGGTGCATCCATAAAAGCCACTACTCACTAAGCCGCTCAACGAGCGAGTGTACTGATCTAACCACTAGAAACTACTAACACCGAGTACAAGACAATTTTAATATTGACATTTTACAATTAGATAACGACAGTCAAAACCTGATAAATAATTTTGTAGAAAACCATTTTTATTTTAATAAAATCACTAGAACCATCTGATAGATGCTAGTGACTTTTCTTTACGTTTCTAGTGTAAAAATTCAACACCAACTATCTAATCTATATCACGTATGATATAGGCAAGGTGTAAACAAGATGTCAAGAAGAAATAATAGATTACCAACCAGTGAAACGTATCAAATGTTCGAAGAAATATATCGAAATGTTCGAAAAATGTTATGAAGTTCTTCTACGCAACTGTAAAATATTCTAATTACAACATGTTTCAAAATATGAGGTTAGAAATTAAATGAAACACTACATACAAGCCGTTCATTGCAATAATGGTATTAGGCCAATTTTTGAGGGTAGAAATAAAGTTTTGCAAGGAATGTTTAAAAAAAACATGGTGACCGTAAGAAAATTTCAGTGTATCTAATGTAATATTTCTATACAAATGGTTCAATTAAAGTTTAGTTGTTAAACAAAATGAGAAAAACGTTTGTTACAAAACTTACTTGAATCCATGAAAACGAGAGAAGTTTGATTTTATAATATTAGCGTCATGCTTGTACACTAGAACCACAAACATTGGCTTTACTACTTTAAGAAAAAAAAAATGATAAAGAAATCACATTTTTGGCGCGGAAGAAGAAATTCCGCATTTAATATAATTATTGTTACATGGCGAAAACCAAAATTTCCAAAAACATGTATCCCTTATTTTGACCTGTAGTTTACGTATATAAATTTTCATGAATAAGAAGCAACATTTAGTAAGATAAATTAACAACAAAAAACAAATTTTCCAAAATAAGTTGTTTAAATAAATAAATAAACAATTTCTTCTGGTCATGAGTGAATTACTCACTCAAAAACGCTTCGTTAAAAAAAAAAATGTTTGTCCTAGCTGTTTTCAAGTTATTTAAAAAAAACTGTTTTCATTCCCCACTTTACCGACTGTTTTCATCCCTTTCAATATGGACATTTGCCGATCAAAAAAAATATGTGTCAAATAATTTTTTTCTAAACTGTCCCCCACATAAATTTGATCAAAATCAGCGTGTGCCCATTGAATATGTTCCCTTGTCAATAATAAGATAGTGTTCGTTTACGTTGCTTGTAATTCGAGTGATTGGTCATAAACCTGACATTATCACTATTCTATTCTATTATTAATTTTATTGTATAATTCAAGACTTTCATCCTCATCTGTATGCCACGTAGTAGAGATCACGATCGATCGTCTAAATGAGATATCCGTTCGTTTCGTATTTCCACGCGTATATTTTATAACTAATCACAAAAAAACCAGTAAACCCTTTGCACTCCAGAGTTGACTGTCAATCACCATTAGGTTTCACGCAGCAAATCTACAATACCTAATACTTTGTAGGTTTAATTTCTTTGGAAATCGAAGTGTCGATAAAATGATCGTCGTAAAGCTGACCTTCTTCTTAAATGTAGACAGCTTGTAATTCATGGCAATAGATCGCTAAGAAACATCTCGAGTTGCTGGTAGATACCAGAAAAAAAAGGCTCGAGTGCAAAGGGTTAATAGTAAAATAAATAATTTTACCTGCCATGTACCAAAGCCAAGTGCTGGCATCAAATGCCCACTTGGTAGCGTAATAGAATGTATCTTCATTGCTTCCCTTCTCGACGAGTTCTTTCAGTCGACTGGATCGCTGATCCCAGTTTCACCGAACAAATGTACTTTCTCTTTGTGCATTTTTTTCATTTTCTGGCCCTGAGATAATTAGGTCAATTTCCATTGACTCGTAACACCCAGTCATCCGTATCTTCCAAGTATTATTATCATTAAACAACAAGAAAAACGGGAAACTGTGCTTGAAAAAAATATACAAAGTAACTACGAGTTTTACGTCGACATACCTTTTCTAGTTCCAGTAGTAATATTCACGTAATTGTTTATACTTAGTATGGAAGTTGGAAAAATTTCATAGAATTGGTAATGCATACCCGTTTGGTCTTTTATTTCGGTAACATTATTTATTTATGTATTCGTTCAATTTGCGTTTTGAATAATCTTGTCGATACGTTTACATATTTGTTTGTTTGCTGATTAATTCAATTTAATAATAATTTCGTGAATTAAGAATTACTGTGTCGTTTAAGAAGCAGGCGCATTTTAAAATTCAACATTTTATAAGTAATAAAGCATTTTTATTTAATAATAAATATCGAGACCAAGTTAGGTTTAATTTTGTTATAATTCGAGGGAATAGAATATTAAAAATAAAGTAGTCATAATATTCAAAATTAAATGCATTTAATTTCAGACGATTTCCATGTTCTGAAAACGATTAAATAATCACGACGTATTATTGATATAAATTGACGAGGAGAAATAAACAGTTCGGTGATGTATCGTTGCGTGAATTGTGGATCTGAAATGGAAGAACTTTATGGAAGATACTATATAAATGTTTTAAAGCTTTTAAAATGTGTATGCTATTTATTACATTAATTTATTTGCATGCTTTGCATAATATAGATAGATACACATAAATTAAACTGATTACTTGGTCGACTCGTTCATATTAATATCTGTAATATTCGGCCTCAACATGTCAAAGATTTTCTTTTGCAAATTACCGGTAACATTATATAATATTTCAAATGCTTGGTAACAATACAATTTATTGTTATTAAATAATCTATTGACTAAATATATCTATTTTTTGTTATCATTATATAACAAATATTTTATTAATTTATTCATTATATTTTATTTTTTTTTTATAATATATAAACGTTAGATGAATTATTTCAGGATGCATGCGACGAGTTGGCTGACAAGTACATCGAGTACGACCCCGTAACAATACTAGTTGATTTAATATTGCTTGAAAGAAAAGCCTACAGACATTTGCTTTACAATTGCGATTTGAAGTCTTGCTGGAAACTTGTTATAATTATCTGGCTTGTTGAATCTTTTCGAAATATTTCTTTATGCGATACCACGAAGGGCAACACCGAAATTTCCAAGACATTCCAACCTACTTTCGATGGGCGATGTAATTTCTATTTAGTCCTATTTCAGACTGCCTTCTCTCTCGGTGCTTTCATCATAGTCGTGATTCTTCTTACTAAAATCAAATGGTATTTTTTTTCAAAGAAATCTAATAAGAATAGTACAACGCACCTGTGGAAGGCTTTGGTAATAGGTGGATCCTGCAAATTGTTAGGATTATTGGAAATAACATGGGGACATATTTTTCTGGCACCTCATTATTTTCTCATTTTGGGATACACACTTCTTTGCTTAATGACTACTTATTCAGGTAAGGCATTGTACAATTTAACAAATCATTTTTTGGCAATTCTTTAAATACAAGGACGAAAGGCAGGCCCGCTTGAAGTGACGAATTAATAAATATATAGAAAGTTCAACATGTATTCATAATTTATTATATTTACTGCACAGAGTTTACAACTTCAATTCACTTATGTATATTTTATATAATTTCAGTGGTATCGGACAGTGGGAAACTGGAATCCTCGATCATTTTGGGGATAGCCATTCTAGTTTACAATTATGCGTCTAATTTTCCCACCGTAATATTCGAAACTTTAGAAATAGCCTAGTAACTAAATCTCATTCTTTATAATGTCGCTCAGTTTAAAATACTATGTAAATAAAATGTTTGATTATATTAAATATTTCTATTTGTATATGTGTACATTCAATATTCCTTAAGATGTACAATACTCCATCCAAGGACTAATCTGTCAAAGCCAGAGGAGAACAAATTACAGACACCGCTATCTTCTGCCCAGGCGACTGACGAGACCATACGTCGGTGACCCTGAAATTAAAAGACAAGTATAATCTACGTGTAATAATATTTAGTTATCACTCTAGTCAATTCTGTAGGATTCCTTAAATGCGAAGAAAATACTTACATCTTCTTTAATAGTTGTAATGACTTTATTACATTATTATATAAGTTATTTTTGTATTAGTTTTAGTTACAACCTGTACATTGAACGTCAAAAATGAAAAGTAGACTCACCTGCCGGCTTGTTCTAGGTAATCTAGCTAATCGTTGACCGCTAAGGTCAAACAATCTAATTTGTCTATTATCGTGTGGAATTGCGACGATGCCAGTGCTAGAAACTGCAAGTCGGTTAGCAGCGCTATCACCTCGAATCGTGGCTAAAGGGCTTCGTATGTTTCGCAATTCCCATATTTTTACGCTTCGATCATCAGAGCCTGAAACGATTTTATCTTCGCGCGTAAAAACCGCGGATGTTACTGTCCTATCATTGAAAAAATAAAAATTACAAACATGTTATTACATTAGATACTTGATTTACACAAAATATGGACATGAACTTACTCAGTATGTGCTTGAAAAACAGAAACTGAATGTATGGGTTCTCGAAAATCCCATAGACGAAAAGTACTGTCCTTGCTCGAAGTGACGCAAAGTCTTTGTGTATGATGAGTAGAAACATGAGAGAGTTCTTGATCGTGCCCGCATAATGTGTGAATAATTTCTCCAGTTTCTACATCATAAAGGTTTGCCGTTCTATCCCAAGAAGCAGTTACAACCTGTTCTGCGTCAGGTAACCAATCTGCGGCCATCACTACACCCGTGTGCCCTAATAATTCTCGCACGGGAGTTCTGTAATGTTTTAAATTCAAATGATTATAGAATATTGTATTTATAAAAGAACAGATGGGTTTCTCACTGTTTTTTGATGTTCGAAATTGGTGTGACCAAGAACATTTTTTTAAACAAAATTTTAAATATTGCCCAATTTTTAGTTTTATACTAAGTAGATCCATTAACAATGATCAAACTTGTAACGCAGTTACATAAATAATTACCTCAGAGTGGGCGGTTCTTCCTGTTCCTCGTTCACAGGAATCACACCACTAACGTTTCTATCGGAGGACAACGCTGAAAGTTCCTCTGCTGAATTTTGTCTTTTAGGAAAGTCCCAGTCAACAGCCGCTTGCCATACATGAGCAGAATTATCTCCACTGGATGTTAAAGCCAATTCTTTGGTTGGATGAAAACGTACTGAATTAACAGAACCAGAATGACCTAAAAATTAAATTAAAACTATTAACAAATTAAATAACGTGAAAACGGAATTAAATAACTGCAAAAAACAAACCAATATATTGCAGAAGGCAACGTCCGCTATCCACAGCCCAAACCCTAGCAGCATGATCAGCAGAAGCTGTAGCAATAATTTGACCTAATCTTCCAACAGAAACTTCCCAAACACCGTCTCGATGCCCGGAGTATTCTCTTTGCATGCTACAAGTCATTGTTGGTGTTTTAAAACTAGAAACTATTTTACTTGTTTGTGCTTTCAATTTATTAGAAGTTGTTTTCGTCTTTTGTGCTGAGTTTCCTGCCATAGCTGTGAAACAAAGAAATATTATTATATAACAACATAATATAATAAAAATTCCAATTAATAGGTAGTAAATTCATCAAAATAATGAGTATTTTTTAATAATTAGATTCCTTACATTTTTGCTTCGAAAAACTTTTTGTATCTGTGAAGTCTGCAACATCTCCATGTGGTAAACTCCGTTCTCCAGAACCATAGCATTCTCTTTCGAGTTTCTCATTAAGAGTATCTATTTTCTCTTGCACTGCATAAAAAGACATTATAAATTTCAATCAACTCTAAACAGATTTTTTAAAGTAAATAGCATACTTCAATAATATTATTATTAAAAATCGAGAATATAATTGTATTACTAATATTATAAAAACCCATACATCCCAAATTCTCCGTATAAAGAACTTCAAACTCCTTCTCAATCTGCTGAAACAAGTCTAACAATCGACATCGTAAAGCTGGAGGTAGGGCACTGTCATCAGGGTCTATACGAAAAGCAGCATAGTGAAGAGCATTTGGTTGCAGTGGTGTAGATCCACTTTGCGACTGCAGTTCTGTATCCGTACTGCTTTGTACTCTTGGAATAGAAATACGTTTGATTTTTCCAGATGCCTTAGATCCAGTACTTATAGATGGTTCTCCTGGCATCTTTAAATCTAGAAATTTGGTAACTCTTTCATAAATGTATTTATTGTGAAATTATTTCAAATATCACAACTATTTTTATGGATTAATATAATTATTTTTATTCATGGCAATGTATAAACAAAACAAAATGCTACATGAAATAAGTACTAAGGAATTTGCAAACAAAAATTGGGAATATTTTCATTGTAGAAAAATTATATAATATTTCGTTTCTGACATTTATGAATAATAATATACACATATACAATGCATAAAATAAAAATATTTACATGTCAGAGTTGTAATTCAATGAATGCATAAATTGGAAGACAAATTTTATAATTCAGATTGATTTACGTGGAGAGTATATTAATTTTCTATCCAGTAATAAAATGGAAAGTAAACAATTACGTCGCATCATATTAATCACTATCAAATGTCGTACTCACTGTATATTTTTTCGCTTGTATTCGTGCTTAAGTAAAAGCATACCACCTTGTGAATTCATTCAATCATAATTAACCATGTTATATTTAATTATAAAAAATAATAAATACTTAATAAAATTATTAACGGTAAATAACTATTGAACTTAGGTTAGAACTGGCATAAATAACACAAATTTACACACGTACGTATATATATACATTCACGATTCTTTAGTTTATTAGAGGAAATAAATCTCCGATATTTATCGCTACATTCAAAATATTTATCACATTTAATCACATTGACTAGTTATACCACAGAATAATTTCATAGACACGAAACTCTTATCGGGTCGTTTGAAGTTTGTATTTTCCACGGACATAGGAATACAGGGACCGGACATTGGCTAGCAAGGGACGCGGTGCGGTATGAAGCCAAGGGGGGAGGCCCGTGGGCCATCTTACGTTGCCAATTTACAGCGGAAAGTTGTAGGACTATAATTGAAAATATGGTGTATTGTTTAACAATAAATTTTGAGAATTTCAATACTTTGAATATCTAATTTCTTGCAAATTTCCCTTTAATTTCCTTTCATATCCGTGACACTTCCCTTCATTTGTGCGAAGAGGTGGCACGTTTGCGCCTACGAGCAGGCAACCGGCCCGACATATCTGCAAGTATAGGTTGCCTAATTCAAGGGTACATTTTTCGGTACATATTGGAATTCTGGCCGATTTTGCATTTTGGCATCAGGAGCACAGAATATCCGAAGAGGTGGATCTGTCAGTACAGGTTCCCTAATTCAAGGGGCTAATTTTCGGTACATTTCGGAATTCTGGTCAATTTTGCATTTTGGGAAAAGTCAACAATGTTCCAAATCGCTCCTCTCAAAATTGTGATAGGAAATGTCGGATTTTTATTCCTAGTATCAGGAGCACATAATGTGCGAAGAGGTGGCATAACTTTTCCTTGATTCGCGATACTTACCTTTTGTATCAGGAGAACGTGTTGATCGAGGATGTATTATTCCTTTTAATTCTGTTTTGAAACTTACCTTTTGTATCAGGAGAACATGATGATCGAGGAAGTATTATTCTTTTTAATTCTGTTTTGAGACTTACCTTTTTTATCAGGAAAACGTGATGATCGAGGAGGTAGAATAAGTTTTAATTTTGACTCGAAACTTACCTTTTGTATTAGGATCACATGACAAGCGAAAAGGTATACCTGGAAACAAGGGAAATTAAGGGGAAATGTGCTAAGCAATGAAGGGGAAATGAAGGAAAATATCAGGAGGTGTTAGGACATGTTAAATGTCAACCGAAGTTAGCCAGTTTGTAGGTCCGGTTGCTACATTGTCATCGCAGAGGTGCCCCTGGTATGTAGCAACCGATACTTGCCTACTTGTTGGTTCGGTTATCATCTCGTAAGCGCAGAGATGCCCCTGGTATACAGCAACCGATACTAGCTTGCTTGGCGGTTCGGTTGCCTTCTCGTAGACGCAGTGGTGCCCCTGTTATGTAGCAACCACTAGCATCTTTTTTGATGCTAGATCGGTTGTCATCTTGACGTTGCCGCCTACTCGATTGCACGACTATAATTGTATCAATTACTACTTTTTTTTATTAAAAATCATAATCAAATATTAGTTTAAGAATTTGATTGTTGTAAATATATCGTTATGAATACTGTCTGTATATGATTTCTTTATTGTTACTCTTTTATAAGATTAGAAGCAAGAGAAATCTTTAACTATACAATAGTAATGGTATGTGATGAAGTGAATAAAGGATGATTACTCATTTTTGTAACACGAAAATATATATACTTCTTTTTAGAAATAATGTATAATAGAAATACATGTTGAGACTGATCAATATAAAATAACGAGGTTAAGTATAATTTAGGTCCAAAAATATATAACATAATCCTAGTTTTATGTCTTCTGTTGGATGAGTACATAAGTAAACATATTTTGAATTTTTTTCCTCTAGAATTCGTAATTATTATTAATTATAAAGGCTTGTCCATAAGTGAAAACAACAAGCATTTACAAAACCTTCAATTAACGTGTAAATATCTTCTATACAGCATAGAGTATTAATTACTTCTTTCGATTTACAATAAACTGCATACAAATCCTGAAAGTAAACAAAATTATTGATATTACCTTTCAAATAATTATAGCCGATAGCATGTACTCGCATATGAATTAATTTTTAAAAAATGTTACAAACCCCTTTCGAAGCATGAAGATTTATAGTCAGCATCATAAAAACTTGAAAGAAGCTCGGATGTAAAATAAGAAGATGAGTAATATTTCCATCTGACGTATTAAACTGTTTATGATGTTCCTGGTATTTATTTTGTAGAACTTTCGATAAAGTTTGATACCAGGAAAGTGGCTGGTTAAGAAATGGTCCAAGTCTTGGATCCAAATTCGATAAAGATTCTATATGAGCCAAGGAGCAAAGTTCGGAAAACTCCGTATAATTCATGGCTGACTTACTTTCCAATAATTTATTCCATAACAGATGCGTTTTGCATTGTAAAGCTCCCCGATCCACCATATTCAATATATGCAATCGAGCTGCGTCTGCTTGAGACATTATCGTTTGTTGCATCAGTTGTTCGTGGGATGAATAATAACCCAAATAATTAATCGACTCTTGTCGTATTTGAATCAAATGTGATGATGTTGAATTTACTGATGCGCTTGGAAGATTCGCATTTTGTGTCAATGGAGAATTCGGTACAGGTGGAGGTGTTGGTGCACTTGTGCTATTACAATTAGTTTGGGAATTAAGACTGGGAATTTTAGAATCATTTTTCTTGTCTTTCAATTCTTGACCATGCTCTTCAAATTCCGTGGAAAATTCTTTTGCAATACCTTTTTCGAAAATTTCCATAACAGATTCTGATTCTGTACAAGTGTTTAGTATAGGCTTCTCAATACTGTACACTGTTCGGAACTTTCCAAGTTTATTATTTTCTACTTCACTCTTTGGATATAATTCCCTTTTACTCGTCAGCATTAAATAGTATTTCAAAGTAATCTCTGTTTTCTCTGTTTGTGGAGATTGTTCTAAATGTGATACGATCAAAGCCACATCAAAATCATCGGTATATCTTGTATCTTGTGCATCACAGTAACTAATCGAAGACGTACTCTTTATGTTTACTAAAACGTATTCACTCTCCTCGGAATCCTGCCGATCACTTTTCATTAAAAGTACGTGCATATTGTATATCTTGTCATGGGATAATAAATAAGAATACAATGTACGACCCGGAATGGTCAAATTACGAATCGTCACTACATCTAAAATATAAAGATTTTTTTAATTAGAGTTTGTATATAATAATAAAAGAATTGTAGTGTACTTAACGTAGTACTCAAACAGAGACATTAAGTAATTTTAGGACTTACCACTATAGATGAGATTTCTAGCATAATTTGGTGCTTTACTATAATATTTATTAAAATCATCAAGAAAATGAATAAGATGATAGCCTTGATGTAACGACCAAGGCTCGTTTCCAGCAATGTATGCGTGTATACACCGTAAATGAAAGTCATATGTAAACGAGTGTAGATGCATATTAATTTTAATTTTGTCACACGCATCCACAAAACTTAGGAGAAACTGAAAAAAATTGAAATTTTAGTAGACTCGGTGATTTGGAAAGAGAAACGGAAAAATTCAGATACATTTGAATTAATATTTAATTATAATATCATACTAATTTTATTGAAATGGAAAGAAAACATTACCTGGTTGACTAGAGCACTACTAGTTTTTGTTTGTAGGCGACTGCATTCAATAACATGTAATTTAACGATAAAGAATGGTTGCGATAAATAAATTTCAAATAGCAGTACTCCTCCCAACATAGACTTTTTAAGATAATAAGATTCTTGTTGGATTTGTCCTTTAAAACTGGGAAATATTAATACATTTAGTTACCTACATATATAGTGATTTATAATCTATATAGAAAAATATTGTACATAATACTCCTCAGATAACTGATCAAGATTTATTCTGAATTACTAAATTTCAACAAATAAAAGTATGGACTTGGCTAGCATAAAAAGTTCCAGGAAGGGAAGCGTCCATTCTGTCACTTTCACAGCTACTTTTAGTGAAAACTGACGCTACTCTGATCTGCCAACTGATAGAGTAACATATAGATTCCCTTCAACAGGGCAATTAGGGTAATATTTAATAAGAAGCTTACCTTTTATCACGAGGTTCCACTTGAACTGGATTAAACCCTAATATTTGTAGATATTGTTTGTACTCGGATAACATCAAATTGCATAATTCTTGATGCCACTTTACAATATTTGTCTGTCCGGTTCGGTTTATTTGCACTTGTGATAAGTGTTGGTGTGCCGTTAACGAATGGTCTCTCGTTGCCGCAGATTGTAAACGCCAGGAAGGCAAGAATAACAGAGGTGTGTGACAAAAATGTATCAAACGAGAATGCTGTTTGGACATACTTAAAGCATTGATTGAAATTGGAATGCTCGGTGTAGCGCTACGATTTTGCCACATTGCATATAATTTACTTAAGTCATCTGAAAATTCATAAACAATTTGATATATATAGTTTTACAGAAATCTTGCTGGTTTCGAATGTATTCAATCAAAATTTATATTTACCTTTCATTTTTTTCTCGTGACACCGTAAATCTTGTAAGTCATATACTGCCTTTGCAATTGCATCGACGTTACTATTGCAGTAACTATTTGATTTTACATCACGCATTGTTTGACCAATAACTTCGTTCCATGAAAATTGATTATGCTTCATACTTTGTACTCTACTATTAGATCTTGGCCAATCTTTCTCATCGTTGTGTGGTATAGAAGAAAATTTGACAAGACTTTCCATATCCATAATTTGGAAATATTGAGGTTTCGTTTGTTCCCTTAACGCATGCGGTCGATGATGAAATATTCCTACTTTTTGCATTACCACGTTTACAAAAAAATTTGATCTCGATGAAAGCCAGGTTCCCAGACTGGTAGTCTGTTTAATCAACTTTTCAGATTTTTCTTTCGACCAGTTATACATGTAGAGGGTTATCTATAACAATAATTCAATTTATTGTTGATATAATATTAAAATTGAATGCATAATATCATACATACAGATAACTCACCTTATCATTTCGAATTTCAGCGAGTAATAATCGTTGCCTTGATACAAAAGTCGATTCCAAAATCAAAGGATTGAATTTCTGCAATACCTTCTGATCTATAAAAAAGGTAAAAAATGTATGTTTGCACGTACATATGTTTATGCAGATTTATTATATGATGAATATAGAAGATGCATTACCTTTCAGAACAGTTAATTCCGGTTGTGCTTCTTCGCTAGAGGAAGCTTTCCATTGGTAAAAGTTTCTTGCAATTAATATACACTTAGTACAGGTTTCTTGTTCGTCTTTATTGAAATCACATGGCACGTAAAAAGGTAGACTTAAATTGTCTGTGTTTCCCAAAGCACAACAATCATATTTATTTGTCGCGGACTCTTCGTTTGAAAGAAATTTTTCGATGAAGGGTTGCTTATCTTTCAAAACAAACGCTTTACTAGAAGTATCCGGCGCTTGGCATTGAATGAGAGCTTCTAATTCTCTGACAATAGCGGGTATAGCATGCCTATAATTAATATGTATTTCATGCTTTTTCACTGATGGAACTCCAATTTCCAAAGCAAACCGAAACCATTGCGATAATGTCACGCAATATATATCGTGTAATCTTCCCTCTTCACCTGCCTCAAATCGATTAATTGTTAAATCAGACACTACTTTTTGTAATGTCTCAATTTTACTTGGCGTTTGAGTTTCCTTGGTTTCAATAACTATCTCTGGAATGCATTTTAATAACGGTTCTGTTAATGGAGTTGACAGGAACTTGTATTCAGTAACTAAATCCCAAATAGCATGCTTAACCGCGGAGCATAATTTTTGTAACAGAGATTCGAGATTAACTCTGCCTTGCTTCCAAATTCTGAACTCGATCAGAGGTAGCGATTTCGTTGAGCTTTTATCGTAAAGTGAAGTAGAGACAATGTACTCAAAATCTTCCTGTTTTATTGTCACAGGAAAATTGCATTTTGGTAATTTACTTTTCGATGGTTTAATTGGCTCTCCCTCATCGCCTGTAATTGCTAATGCTATACAAGCGATTCCTTTGCTCCCGCTAGAATGACTTTGATTGTATAAGAAGATACCAGATTCGGCTACTCTTTTCGTAGATCCTTCAAGTTGCGAATAATCTTGAAAATGGTAGTCTGGTCTGTTATCAGTGTATTTTGGTATGTACAAGAATTGAAGCACATTCTGTCGTAAATAGAATTCTAGAGCGGTTATGTATGATACACAATGTTCCTCTATGCATAATTGTATGATGCTTTCCGGCGGTTTTGGCGGTTGGATGAAAAGCACGTCGGCTGGAGTTAATTTGCACATTGGATTTCTTGCTAACATAACAGTCAGAACTTCGAGTACCGCGTCATCCAAACGATTTTGCAGAACTTGTACCAAGTCACGTTTAACTTCTGGTCCTGCGTCGGAAATTCCATGTACCATTAAGGCAATCGAATCCTCGGTTTTGTTTAGGACGTTTGACTCTTTTTCGCTGAAGGACCGAACTCTAGGCCTCGTATCTGCCGTGGTAACATTGTCGTTCAATTTTGTTTGCGACAGTGAAACTACACTGTTACTCCGGGAAACGACAAGTTTCTCGTCGCTATCCGATAGTTTATTTTGTAATGGTTTACCATCATTTATTTGTTCGTGGAGTCTTAGGTAAAATACGTTTTTATTATTTTCTTGATACACGAACATGTTACTTCGGTTAGTCACGGCGAATCTATCGAGCACCCCGTGTAGAGCTTTTATACCTCGCGAAAGTCCTGATCTTCCAGGCCCGGTTTTCAAACGAGGATGAAGCCTGAATGTAAATTCCCAAACTACGCGACAACGAAACATTCCTGGAGTGAAATTTTCTATCGAATCTCTATTTTGTATAGTATTGCTGAACTCATTTGCCGTTTCCGTTCTCCAATTATAGTCTTCACTCGTTTCTGTTTCTAGAAGCTCAGAACATTTACTCGTTTTGTACAGATTTTGTAACAGCAAATATTGGTTTACTCGGCGACAGGTGCTCTTTATTTTAGAGATCAATGTTTTTTGAGTATGCCAGTAACTATCTACCTCTACAGATGGAATTTCCAGAAACCTGGCAATTATAACAAACACGATATGTAATTTTATATAATATTTCTTAACTTAAATTTCATAAAAATTAAGTGTTAGAGGTATCCTATACAAGTAATGAGACAGACTGTAAATTACGACCAATACTTACCTACAGTGAAAATAAACATTAACATAATCACTTTCCACTTTCAAGATTAGCCAGAAGTTTGGTAAACAACTTGGCCGATTATCAAGATCTATCAACCATTTAAACCCTCCATCAGAATCACTGTTCCCTTCGTATTCGTTATCCACGTCTGATTTTTCTTCCAGCTCAGAGTCATAATTTTCAAATCTGAGATGAGTTTTACAACTTTTCTTGGTACCGTCACAATTCATATCAATTTCGTGTAACTGCTCTGTACTTTCTACAGTATTACATTGCACTAATAATAAATAAGTATTTGAGGATTTTAGTAACTAATTTGTAATTGAACGGTTCAGGGAAAACGACCGTAGTTACAAGAAAGAAAGTTTTAGTACTTAATAACAAACTCTGTGGACTCACTTCCACTACACATAATCAAGAATGTAGATGAATTTCTGAATCTTTTTAAGCCAACATAATCTCAATTTCGATTTTAAATGTAAGTACTACGATCGTCTTTCTGTTTTGAAGTCAGAATCTGTATACTTTATCTTAAGTTTACTTAAGAAGAAATAACAGTCTTTAGAAATAGAACATACCATGTTCCACTTTCAGTTCTTCTTTATCATCCCCGTAAGTTTTCTGTATCGTATCGGACGATATACGTTCCATGTTCTTTACAAAATAAAATAAGTTACCCTCTTCTTTAATACAATACTTGTCAATTTCAAGTTTCTTCAATTCATTTAAAAACTTGGGTTTACTATCCTCCGAAGGAAAAACAAAATGCAGCGGCACTTTCTCTAATTTGCAGCTAAATCTATCTGTCGATTCCGAAACGTGATTTGCCACAAACATCAAAATTTCTTCATTTATCGAGGGTAGATCCAATAACGCAGTCGTAGTTTCGTCTTGCAAAAGCCATTTGATTTCATCTCTTAAATTACTTATCGCGCTGTGTTGATTTAAAGGAAGATGAGACATTTTTTCTTGAAAAAATTCGCTTCTAGCATTGTTTTCTGAACTACTTCCACTTTCTGTTCGCAAACTACCAGCGGGCGAACCACTAGAGAAAGATGTTGTTCTTAAACCAGAGTAACGTTCTAAGCTTATTTCTAATACTTCCCTTGGAAGACTTAAACAAATGATATCCAAGGTGATTTTCAAATTTGCTGGATTAAAAAAATCAGTTATACCACTCTCTTTGTAATCTTCCATTTTTTGAACAATTTCCATGAAACAGGTAGGGAGGGATTTTACTGGAACGCTACTAAGGCCGGATTTAGATTGAGATTGAATAGAGCAACTTAATTGCAAGAAGAGAGGTTGCTCTCTCTCGTAAATATTTTCCTCTTGTAAATCGCTGATGAGAGACTCCGTAGAATCATGACTTAAAGTCTTTGGCACATTATGGTTATTTCTGGATGGCCATGTCATATTTCCTGATTGAACTGTTGACGATACATGAATTTGAATTATTGGAAACTATATCTTGAAAATACATTTCTACGTAATGGACAATTTACGATATAATAATAAGATAAGTTACCAGTGTAATGTACCTTTTTTGCAAGAATTATATAGTGCGCTATCATGACTCAGTGAATGAAAGAGAAGATTCCCTATTTCATCGTCGCTGTCTGATTTTTGAAAACCTACAAGGTCCTGTTAATTTCAATTTTGTTAATCACTTAATTTTTATTAGAATCCATTAATATTTGACTATCTTTTAAATATTTAATCGATAACGAACCATTTTACTGACTATCCAAGAAGGCGAACAATAATAAAATTCAGGGTGTGCGGGTACTGGCCTAAATGCAACAGTCATTATTTTCTCAAACTTCTCCCTAATTAAATCGTGGATCGGCTTAACATCTTTACACGCAGACATATCCAATTGATCGAATACATCTTCATCTGATAATTTGCTCAAATGTCTGCATACGCATTGCAGATATTTCGTTATATTAATTTCAATTAGACTTTCCTCGCATTGTTCCACGGCGGCTTCCATATCTTCGTAACTAAGGGGCTGTTGCAATACTAATGATTTATATACAGCAACAACATAACAATGACAGTGAGCCAAGGTCAATAGTTTGCAATGTTCCGTGAGACTTCGTTGATCTGTCATAGTAGAAAACATTGTATTAATCACTTGTAAACATTATCATGTAATATCAATACATTATGCCTCTATCTGAAAATCATGTTATTAAAATTAAATAAAATATATAATGATATTTTTACTCACCGCTTGTGCTGTTATCAGAATCTTCACTCTTTGGTTCCGGGGACGAAGGTTTTGAGTTATAGCCAATTTTTAGTTCTGTGAAATCCTTACATTCCTGATGGCCAGTTCTAAACGTATGATCTTGATAAATGTCTTTGTGATGTGACATTTTCAACTTATCAGTTAATGTATCGATTAACAACGCCAGTGAACAGTCGTACATATAAACAGGGATAATCAGACTTCCTTCCGATTCGTTACTTTCTAATAATGCAAACATTAACATCCTTTATATAAAGAGTCGAATGTGTGTGTTTTTTGCTCAAATCAATATCAAGTATACCAGGTGTGTAATTCTTCTCAGAATTGTTACTCGCGTAGAATTCTTCCGCATACATGGGTAAAGTAAATAATCGTACATCTTTTTCTGAAGCAGGTAGAACTGTAATAATCACATGAGTAGTACTAATTCCTTTTACGAAACACTTCCAACGTGGATAGACGTTTTGTTCATTACTGTAGAAGTGTTTTTCTGAAATTAATTTTGAAATAGGGAAAGTATATTAGGTTTATTTCTTGTTAAATTCCATGGGTAGTTTTTGGAGTGATATTTTGAATTTAGCTGAAATTTAGTTCCAGTCTACAACTAGAAAAAAAAGTCAATACCTTTTTGAGAGAAAAATGGTAAACGTGGACCTCCATCTCTGCGTCTATTAAGGAGCATTCTTGTGAACTTTTGCGATTCGGCTGATGTTAGAAGAAGTTCTTTATTATGCAACTGTTTTATATGCTCTAGAAAATTATCCATGAGTATCTTATTTGCACGTCCGCCTCCTGTAATAATAATATAATCTAATTCGATACATGTATATATGCTATTTCTATAAATAAAATGATGACAATAGTCTTTCTAAATCGTGGGAAACTTTTAAGAGTAGTAAATCTATACAAATTAAAATTCGTACCATCCACAAACATAGAGAATAGAAGTTCGGCCTGTTGACATTTTGGTAAAATGTTTAACGTATCAAAAACAAAATGCATTAAACGTATTCGTTCATCGATGGATGGTAGACCATCAAACACTTCATCGACATTAGAACCGCTGTTTTTTATATTTCTGATATTCTTTTTCGATAGTTTCGTTTGATGAGCTTGACCGTAAATAATTTCGTTACTTTTTTCATTTGGAACTGCTTGATTCAACAAACTCAGATACTCCAAAGTCAATAATGCGTTGATACATTCTTCATCCACTCGAGCAATCTAATGAGAAAAAGTAACGAAATTTATTATTTTCTTTATTTCTTATTCATAGAAGGACATTACATTATATATTTATTGGTAATATAAATCATGCACTTACTGCATCTGGAAGCTCATGATATTGCAAAAGATGCATATAAGATGCCGCTGATTGTACAGGCAGCTGTACAAAACCACACTGAGGTTCGATCCAAATTTCAGAAATAATTTGAAAATCGCCGGAACTTTCAAAGTCATCCATGCTTATTTCGCCATCAGCGTTACCTGAAATATAATATAATAAATTCATTTGCTTTCTAATCGTTCAAATGTATGACTTACTAACTTCATTATTAGTTTGTTTGAACTTAATTTTATTTTAATATCATGTTCACCACTACCTTCATCAGTATCTTCATCCGACGCGCTCTCACGTTCTAATATTGTATTCGATGTAACATGCGGGGGAAACAAGATATATTGAATAATACACGGATACGATGCATTAGTTTTATCGATTCCTTGCATTTGTACTTCGAGAACCATGTTTAATATACCCGCCGCTGAATAAGTAAAACTAAAACCTTCGGCTAAACGTATCCTGATACAATAAAAATACATATACATGTATATTAACGTAATGTATAAATAATACTGTCTTATATTTCTACAACAAAATATAAAAAAATATAAATACGAAACATTTACTTTGTAATTGTAGAAAGTATCCTTGCAATTGCAGTTATATTCAATCTTGGCAACGTAATTCCCGGAATGGTTTGCACAAATGGCCGCTTTATATGCCAAAGCCATCGGTTATGATACAAATATCTAGATAAGCTAGTCGTCAAAATTCCTCCAAAAATTGGTGTAACTTTCATTGAGTTTGTTTGAGTTCCATCGGGAAATACAATTGAATTTAAATTAGTGGGCAATCGTTCATATCTAACTAAAATCCTTTCTAGGGATTTGTGAATAATAGTGCAACAGAGGGTTTCTCTTTGCCCTGTTGGTCTATTTGGCAAAATAAGTTTAGATAACCGATCTAGGAGGTCGACAACGACATTATGTCGTACAACCCCCTCCGTGCCAGCTGCGAATGCAATATTAAGGATGACGCAGAGACCCTTACAATTGATACGAATTAATGAGAACGAAACAGGAGGTTTCTCTGCTTCCCTGTATATAAATTGTACATATGTATGATTTTCAACGAGAACGAACGTTGCCCAATTTTTTAACATGGCATATAGAACTGCGGCTGCTTGGCGACTTTGAACACATTGAAAACGGCCACTCTGATTTGCTTGATGTAGATGCTTCGGCAATGGTCTGTCGTGTGATAAAATCAATGTCACTCTTTGCGTATGCATCCATCGTGCCCACTGCAAAGGATTTAAAGACACTACGGGTTGCCATATTTGACCAAATTGTGGACACGCTGCGTCACTAGAAAAAAGTACCTGTTTTGTATACAAATTTACATGAAAAACAATTAATTAATGCGTATACTATAGTAATATCGTAAATTTCAAGTATACCTAAGTTGTACTGTACTAGGTGAAGGATAAGCTGCCGAATAGAAAACTGGCATGCCGCTCCTAATGGTATCTGGTACACTGTACCAAGTCCAACCAAAATCTGGAAACCAACTAAAATGTGCAAGCATGGTATCACTTTCTGTTAAAGATGTTAAGGTTGTCCAAAACCGATTTACAACACCTTGTCGATATTGTGATTGCAATGGTTTTTTTGACAAACATGTGATGTCGTGTAGAAAATCGTAAGGAGCTGTAACAAAATATTGTTTCTTCTTTATATTTGGTAAAATTATTTGGGTAAAATTAAAATATAAAATGTAACTAATTGTTCTTAGACTTACCTTCTACAGTAATCGTGTACTGTATCGTATTAGATGCAGACAATGATTTCGTAGACCAAGGGCATAATACTACATATTCTAATAAAACACTATACTTCCATAACAATACGAAACAAATTTCAAGCATTTCATCTCTAACATTAGCACGTTTTATTAAATATCCTTCTCGAAGGCGACAACATAGTAAACTGCTTAACGTGCAAGTAACTTTTTCTTCAATTTGCTTCTTTTGCAAAAGTTGAGCAGATTTTTGTTCATAAAACAATGAATTTTTGGAACACCAGTTTGGATAATACGGTAGAACTTCGTAAACTTCGTCACGATATAATTGCCAGAACAAAAAATTTGTATGGTAATTATTTATTTCTGTTTCATCTAAATCTGTCTGAAAATATAATAATTGTTATGTATACGTAAAATACAAAATATTATATTATTTGTAGAAATATTATTTCTATATTTGAAATTAAGAAAAATGTTTATAGAATCACTAATTTAATTTATTGTTAATGTACGCTATGTTTAATATACAAACGTTTACGTACAGCATATGGAATAAAAGACATATAGGTACCCAAAGTAGCTCCAGCAATGAAATATAATAAGTCTTGGTTCGGAACTAAACCATCAGCACAATGTGGATGATATGTACTTCCAACACGCAGAAAACTGCATGCAACTGTTGTTGCGCGTAATTGCTGTATAACAGAATCGAGTACATGAACATCAGTAGTTCCTATTATACCATCTGACACAATTATCATATCTGAAAAATAATTGTCATTATATATAATTACGTGAATGCATGATAATTATAACTGTACCAATAAAAAATTTAGTGTTTTAATAAAACAATATAGATTCATAAAGCTTACGCGAGCAACTGTGTTCTGGCAGAAGAGTAAGCGCTAACATCCCATATCTAATCATATTCACAAAGCTTGATTCCGGAGAAATTATCGAAGTATTGACCATATAATTATTACTTTTTTTATTGAAATAAGTATTACTTTCTTCGAAAAGACCTCCCACCAAACGTTCATTTTCAGCTCTTAAATTTTCTAATTGTTGGCTAGCTGTAGCAGTTACAGATGCAACCTTTTCTTCTAATACCTTAAGTTGTTTCTCTATGTAATTTGTAAGTTGATTAACATTCTTCATAGTCACTAGCCAACCTTGTACTAAAACTTGTTGTGCTGGACTTGTGAAAAAAGATGTATGAGCTATTATAGTTACATAAATTTCTGGTTGCATCTTCCTACTACTTCCTGGTATGGTCAACTGCAAACAGAACGATATAAGCCTAGCTCTAAAACTTTTTGATTGATACCTCATATAGAAAGAAATAAGCTATTACTCACAGGCCTGATAATGCCTTCCAAGAAACGTTTTGTTGCTACATATACTTCATCTATAACTATTTCACCATGTTGTATATCCTGAAACAATACCACAAACATGAAGGCAAATGCATTTAAATAAAACTATACAGAGATTTAATATATTTTCTAGTTCTAATTATGTTATACCGGCAATACTTACTACAGTTGCAAGCGATGGGCTTAAATCTAAATTAAACACTATCCTGTATTTGTGCGATAAAAATATTATTGATGTTGTAGAGGTCACTTTATAAAGAAATTGGTAACTTGTTTCAGTAGACCAAGATTCAGGTTTACTTTTTGGTAGCACAGATACAATTTCTAATTCTGCTGCTTCTTTGTTTTTCAAACCTGGACACTGAATACTTATTACAGTGTCCAAGTGTTCAAGCATCCATTGTGCTCTTACATTTCGAGATATAGGAAAACCTTTTTTCATTAGTAAGAAAACAGTATTTGCCTCCAAAATAGTTTTGTCCTATAACATATAAAGTTTTAGTTTTAGTTTTTCCTGTTATACATAACTATTTTATTTGATATGAGATAAGCTACTCCATACTACTACAATGTTCAATTTGTTACTCCAAGAAATGGTTAAAAAAAATTATAAGGTTTCAGGAAGGATAAATAACTGTTAAAAAATGGTCAAATTTGGCACATAACAAGACAGAACAATTTTTTGCTGATTGTCCTGAAGAACACATTGCTGGAATTAAAGATACAGTCATTGTAAATTCAATTCTTGCACTATTGCAAATATTCTACCTTTTCCCACATGCTAATTGTAGATAGACAATTTCTTGATAAAATGTGTCCATTGAATGTGGATTGTAAAACAATTGGGATTGTTTTCTGTCTTTACTAGGGACATATATTATTTCATTAATTTTGAAAAGGCTGTTTCTTTTTGACGAATTGTGTTTTCAATGTGTAGTAATGGATGGCTTTTCTTTTTATTTTCTTGATATGATGTTGATAGTGTGCTCAACTGTATGTTTTGAGATGACTGACTAAATTCTAACTGATTATCATCAACTTCTATACTTCCACATAAATCATCTATTTCTACTTCATCATTGTTCCCAGGAATAACATAAAAATTAGATATAGTATCTCTTTCTGTAAAATGTGGCAAAAAAAAAAACTTAATGTGTCTTCATATTTATATGTTCTCATTTTTCCTGTAGCCTGATCACGTTTTGTTACTTTTCTGGCTTCGCAATTTTTTGTATTGGTCTCATATACTTTGCCCTCTGGTTTTACGCAGTGAATCTAAAAACATAAATGCAACTGATTTGTACATATTTATATAGCAAAGTAACTTCAATTTTGCTAATAACTTGTTATTTATTTTCTTAAGTACTTGATAACAGGCAATTCTTTTAAAAGTATTTCATTTAACTATTGATTAGAACACACAACAGTGTACAAGATAGTTAAAGAAACATGCAATTAAAGATTGACTAATTACTGAAATTATGCTTGCTCTAAACATGAATATGTAAAAAAACACCATATTGAAACTAATGTAACTTTTTGAATTGTTTGAGGAATTTGACAAAAGTTTGACTATAATTTTTATTAACTACTTCTGCACTGTCTTTACAAATTTAATTTCTTGCTTGTTCGAGGAAGCAATTTTCCAAACATTTTTTTCTACTCTATGCCAGTAACATATGTCCATTGTATAGAATTTTTATTTGTTTTATGAGAAGTCACACACAATTTTGTTTGCAAAAATTCAAAGAACTTGCCAATTAAAAGACTGTAAACATCAACAGCATTGTTTACAATATTTGGTAAAATATTTACTTTAAAATTTCCACAATATGGTTCTAACAAAGGGGGATCATCGATTTGCATCCAATTATCACCATCTTTTACATTAATATTGTCTAATTCACTTGAACTGATCTGTAATGGCAATATATACTTTTTCTTAGATGTAATAAGGTAATAACTCTACTATCAATAAATCATGAGTACTTAAATGCCTGATTTAATAAAGGGACCACATTAAGTGTGTTTTGTCAATTTAAATCAAATGCAAGGTTCTTCAGGACCACTAAAAAATTAGATATGAGAAGGCATAAGTTACACTTCTATTGTTTCAGGTAAAATATGAGTTTTGTTATTACAGAACTCGTAGGAAAAATATGGGGAAATAATTTAGTGTAAATAAAAACAGCATGCAACAGACTTAGAAATACATTCTATTATAAAGTTCATATAATTACCTCATGTTTTGCACTAGCCATGACGATTTAAACATATGTTTACATCTCAACATTCACTATTTTTGACAAAACAAGTGTATAAATACACAGTAAATATTAATTCTACGTAGTACACTGATCAAAGGTCACTTTATTATCTATTTTCTTCATTACTATTCGATTATATTTTCAAACGAATAAATACAACATAACCTCAACAAATTAAATAACATTAAACAGTATTAAACTTATATGTTAGGACGCATTTATTCTATTTATTGTTGTCGAATTAATATTAGTTATTGTTATTCTGCACAAATATTTTTCAAATAACAAACTGTGATCGGTGATTTGAAAACAACTTCGATAAATCCGAAACACAAGAGATAAAACTAGAGAAAACACTAAAGCACAAATGGCCAACTCAACTTGATGACTTATACACACAACTACTATCAGACTACTATATTCCATTTATCGAGAACGTGTAGTCGGATAAACAAAACCACGTGACTTCTGACATGACCAACTATACGAACTGTGCCCTACATAGGTGTATCCAAATATACAAAAATTAAAGAAGGAGTCTGTGAAATTTGATTGCTATTTAATTAACAAGGCTATCGCTATATAATTCTAGAGTACAACATGGTACAACGCTAAAAGGAGCTGAAAAAGCTCAATCATTAATGTCTATCAATAGTTTTCGACTACAAGCGAGAGATGGCGATCCAACGCCGAAATTAAATTAATCACGTGACTTCAGCAATCCTTACGCACAATTTACTATAAATAACACTCATTAAATTACAAGAACTATTATTTATTGAACACAAACAAAATTATAAATGTAACAGTGCGAAGTTGTAAACTGAATAATCATTAAAAGTATGTTTAGTAAATTTTATTATATATATGTATATAATAATTTTTATAAAATTACGAAATATATATTTCATAACACTATTATTCTTAATTTATCAACAATATAAAAAGTATAAAAGTAACTGTAATCAATAGTTAGATTTAATCAAGATATATACAGTTTTGAGCTAATCGATCTTTATAGAGCATTTGTTACATGGAAATAAAACAAACTTGACAACTTGGCTCTATGATAAAATAAAAAAAACGTTAGTAAAATTTATTAAGTATAAGGAACATACATAACTTAATTAAAATAATCTTAATTAAATCATGAACAATGAATTTAAAACATCAGTTAAATTATCAGTCCCTTGGCGAATACATGTACAAATAAAGTTTAAAGAGACAAAAGATATATTGTTTAAGGGAAAACACACTAAAAAGATAATTTAATATTACAAACCTATTCAAAAATATTATGTCCCTGCTTTTATATTTTGTCCATTATATTCGAGCTCTGATAAAAAAATAATATTACTAAACGAAATTACCAAATTTAAGTCTTTACAGAGGAAACTGCTTTTTTCGCTGCTTCGTCCAAATCGTTTGCTGTAATAATCGGCAAACCACTTTCTGCAAGAAGTTTCTTTGCTTCCGTTACGTTAGTACCTGATTTAGAAAGAATCGCGTATTAAATTACACAAAATAAATAAGGGAATTAAATATAAGAATACAAATTGAATTTACATCGGTTCTATTTGTTAATATAGCAACGCAAATAATCTCAATAATTACCTTCCAATCTAACAACAAGTTTAAGTTTAAGTTTCAAGTTACGAGATGCGGCAATGATCCCTTTTGCTATTGTGGCACAATTTACAATACCACCGAAAACATTTACAAGAATTACTTTTACTTTCGGATCTAAAAATATCAAAGAAAACAATTAAAATTATTTGTAACAAAATGAAATTTATTTAATAAATGATTTTCTAGATTAAAATATTAAATAAATAAAACGACGAAACATGACTAAATAAAATATACTTCTATAGTATTAATTCAATTTGAACATTCCTCTTTTTAACTGTATACTTAATTATTAATAATGATTTCCTTCAATAATAATACATACCCTCGCTAAGAATTCTAAATGCTTGGAAAACCTGATCTTCTTTAACACCTCCACCCACATCCAAAAAATTTGCTGGCGATCCACCGTTTAATTTAATTATATCCATAGTAGCCATTGCTAATCCAGCACCATTTACTAGACATGGTATGCAACTTTGAGCTCTCAATAAATTAAAATAAAATTTAAAATTCTTTTTTTCTCTTAAAAAAATTTTCTATTTGAATCATACCTAAACATCCTATATTGCCATCCATACTAATATAATTTAAATTAAACCGAGATGCATCTGTTTCTCTAGGATCTTTTTCATCAGTAGTTTCTAAAGCAAATAAATCTTGCTGCCTGAATTGAGCATTATCGTCAAATGCTATTTTTGCATCAACTGCTACTACTTGTTTATCTGTTGTCTCTACCAATGGGTTAATCTCAACTTGCAAGGCATCAATATCTACAAATAGCTTCCACAAATTTTTTAATTCGAATATTGCTTTTTCTTGCACATCTGGATCTACAAAACCTAGGAAAGTGCTAATGTCTTTAGCAATAGCATCATCAATCCCATGATATATATCAAGTGGTACTGTTTTTATTAATTCTGGATTTTTTTCAGCAACTGCTTCGATATCCATACCACCTGCTGGTGATGCTATCAACACAGGACCATTGTGCTGTCTATCCATAAGAATACAAACGTATGTTTCACGTGCAATATTTACAGATTCTGCTATCATAATTTTCTGTACCAATATGCCATTTTTTGAAGTCTGTTTAGTAATAAGACGATGACCTAACATTTGTTTCACAACATCTAAGACTGCTTTAGGGCTATTAAAAAATATATATAATTTATAATAAAATTCGTAATTTCTCTATTACATTTTGTGCCAACTACTTCAACTTACTCTTTTTCAAGATGTACACCACCTTTGAACCCATTATCGAACCATCCCTTTCCACGGCCCCCAGCTAATACTTGAGCTTTAATGACATATTCATTTGCATCTACAAAAATAAACAAAATAAAATGTTTTAGTCAAATATAGATGTTAAATTCAACACATGTACATCATGTAAAATAACTTGATGTATAATGATCTTGAAAGATTTTAACATAAGTGATAGCAAACTGTTTTTTGCAACACTTACAATAAAGACAAAATAAATTATTTTCCCCAGATAGATATATTTTGGAATATCTCTTTATCTATAAAAGTAAATGTTACTAACTTTGTCAATACTTATTTTAAATGTAACATATTATTTTTAAAATTCAAAGACACGACGACAATAGAAAAACAATTGCTTATATGTAGGATGTTCAGTTTGAGCTTCAAAGTAACATAGTAAAAACAATTGATTTTTATATGAAGATACTAAGAAAATATAAATATATTATACAACAATATTATACCTTAATGCGAAGGTAGATTCAATGTAATGTTACATTTTTCATCCTATGAGAATGATAGTTGCTTTTGCAAGATCATTGAACACTACACATAATAAAGTAACCTTGTTAACATAATATATATATAATATAAAATCTCTGTTTATAATATGCATTCAAATTATATGTAATGTAATGTAAAGGCTTTGAAAATAAATAATATGCTTATTCTAAGGACATACCTAAAATAAAGTTACACAGAATAAGTTACTATTTCTTTAAAAAAGATGAATATTACAACTCTATGAAGTATAATATTAACAAAAACATATATCACTTAGGAATAAAATGAATCATTGATTTAGAAAAATTATACAAATTTATGATGACTACTTTTTCCGATGACTGTAGTTACATAAATGTTAAATCCACAGTTAAAGAATAAATATATTTGTATAAATTTTTGCATAAATCAAACGTATCATATGCACAATAATATACTAACGTAATTTTTCTAATGCAGAATTCGCTTTATTTATATCATCAACAATAGCAAAATTTTGCACAGAAACTCCACAATCTCTAAGGAGTTCCTTACTTTGGTATTCGAGTAAATTTAAGTTTCTCGTTTGTTTTAAATTAAAGTTTAAAGTTTGTCTGATATATTCGATCGAATAGAGCGATTTTCGACTTGCGATACGTAACATGTTTAACTTTACTATTAACACTTCGTAAAATACCAATGAAAATTAGTCTTTTGTTAAATTTTGTGAATTATTTACTAATCACAATAGCCACAATCACCAGAGTTAATATTTTATCTGAAAAATGCATTTACTGATTGATTAAAATAATCAGTAATTCCTAAAATTAGCTACAAAAGTTATCACAGACTAGTTTTACAGAGGCAATACTCTCGTGGACTTTTATCATAACCATAACCTTTGATATTCGGTCTGAATCGGTCCTCGTACTCTCGGAGTAGGGACGGCTCTAAGCAAATTAAATCGATGGTTCTCTATGGCGCCCCTGACTAAATAGTACTTGCGTTAGGGTAATTTACTGTAGTGAATAAAATTATGTTTAAACTAAGAAATACTAAATAATTAATACATTACTCAATTACTTCATTAACTTAGATCTTGACTGTCACCGTGGAAATTCTTGCAAAAATATTCTAAATAGGGCCCTGCTATTTCGAAGCACAGTACTATCTCACGTGCTTCTTAAAAGAAGCATTGCCGTATCTTTGCAGACGTATAACTCCATCACTCTTTAATAACCATTAGATAATAGGAGAAAGAGAAGCACTGAAGAAACAGAGTAAAGCGCGGCAATTTTGAAAACGTAACACTACACGAAATTATTTTTTTTAATTAATTTGTTACTCTTGAATCGCGGCTCAAAGAATTAACAGAGAAGGAAATTTTCAGAAGAATTTACTTAGTAAAGGATTAATATGACTAGTCAATTCAATACTAAGTACTATGTTTTGCAGGAACTACTTGTTGCTTAGCTACCACCTCCGTCACTTATCGACATCAAACAATGAACAAGGCTCTCATGCAATAATCTACCTACTTAACACTGTAAGACTATTGATGGTCAATGCTAACCTTCTATACATGTTACTATATTATTGAAAGTAAACGAAGGACGAGCAAATTGATTCATCAATACAGTTAATTCTCTATTTTAATAGATATTGCGAAAAATCGCAGCGAAATAATTAAGTAAATAAGTTAGTAATTAAGTAACTTTAAAAAGAATTGTTTCAATAGCTTTGGCATTAAAGACTAAATATTTTTATTATTACAATTATGCAATTATATAAGATTATAAGATTATTATTATAAGATTACTGAAATATAAATGAGGATAAATGGGTGTTTTGAATCATTAAATTTAATGCAATCCGCCAGTTTGTATGTAATTCTGGTTGCCGCATGTCAGGGGCAGTTTGTCTGTAATTCTGGTTGCCGCATGTCAGGGGCAGTTTGTCTGTAATTCTGGTTGCCGCATGTCAGGGGCAGTTTGTCTGTAATTCTGGTTGCCGTATGTCAGGGGCAGTTTGTCTGTAATTCCGGTTGCTGCCTATAAGGGGCATCTTCCCCGCGCCTAATAAGTGGCAACTGAAATTACAGAACGACTGGCGGGTTGCATGATAATACGGGATAATACTACTTTGAACTGTTAGAAAGTGGATACGCAAATACCTACTTAATTCAATATAAAAAGATTCTTTGAGTGCCAGATAAATACTCATGAAAATATTTATGAAGTTTAACATTTGTTCTTATACAATTGGAAAGCGACTAAATGCCGTAGCTATAATCCTTAAACTATAGCAAAAATGAAGTCGACGTCTTCGTTAGTTTCCACGAAATCAGCTCGTAATGCTCTACACCTCCCTATGCAATGCTTAAAGCACAAACTTTACCGAACGTCTACTTCCATCGCGATTCATTCTTAAAAAAAAACCCTAAATATTTCACTCCCCCAAGCAGGTATAATCTTAATCCTCCCTACTTACCCTTCCCGTTTGCTAATCGTCTGGTCACGAGGAACTTGACATTGAACCTTCGTGTCACGCATGAACATTTGCATACATTATGGCTCGGAAACGTGACCATTAACTAGAATGCATGTAAAACACATGTATGGACACGGAAAAGTCGACGAAAAGATTATGTGCGCATGGGCGTCTCTATGGTGACGAGTGACTCTTGCCACGACCTCTAGTCGTTCCTATCAATCCATTACAACGTTATCATGCCGCGGCAGGTGAACCTCTGTCCACAAGAGTTCTGATTCGAAAGTTTTCCGTACAAAGTTTCCGTTGGTACATTCAAATTTTCATCGAGTAATCGCCGTCGCGATCTAGTCGGTCGATGCAACAAAAGTCACCTTGAAAAAGGATCAAGGATCTTTTATTATGTAAGTTCGCGGTGCACGATATAACGTGGTGACTCGCAAGAAAACAACCTCGACGTCTCACTTCCGCCGAAGGGAAAGCAAGTTATAGAAAATCGCACAAAGGATATAGAAATTGTTGTGCTCGCGTCATCTTCGAGTCAGAAATTCATCACGTGTACCGCGGCTCTTTTTTGAAAGGATACACCATCGATTTTTCTACGATACTCGATATTATTTTCGTGGGCAGACTTTGTCGATCCTTGTACTTTGATTACTTGGCTATCTGCTTGGAAATTCATGGGAATCTATTGCACGGCGATATGGAAGAGATTAGGATATAGAGTAGTCTAAACTTGTCCTTTGATTGAGTTGGGGTAAAATGGTGCGATGAATATCACTGAAATTTAATAAAAAGATATATATATATATATATATATCTTTTTATTAAATTACTTGAGAAATCGCTTCTGTATAGATACTCTTTGCACGTTCACCGGAAGTTGTTATTTCGCTTGTCTTGAAAAGTCCTCGTCGGTCTCAGTGCTGAAAGTGTTAAATGTGAAGCAGAATAAACGATTCGAGTAAAAGCATGTAAAAAGTGTGTACCACGTAACTTCCATGGTGTACGGTAGTTCAACTACACGCGGACGGGTGTTGCTGTTGACTTTCACGCCGAAGAACCGACGGAATCGTTCGTTGGTCACGTAATTAAGTACCAAAGTCGATCGAGCTGATTCAACGACGCGAAAGTGTGACTCGGTCCGAGAACTGCAAACGACGAGTTCGTGAGTTCGAAACGATTCGGAGGGGTAATTGAGAATCGATTTGGAAAAGTTACTACAGGAAAGTACCGCGAACAGGACTTCTAATGTGAGAAAGAAGTCATCTTGTGCGAGCCTTCGAGGAGACTTGGAGGAACGTGTCAGGGAAAGTGAATCGGTTGGCTGGAAGCATGTGAGTAAATGGCCGTGACGGAATCCCATCATCCTTCGAACGACCTACTATGGGCACCTGCCTGGACACTGGTTAGTATTTACTGAAATTAACACTTAACAATTATTAGGTTGTCCAGAAAGTTCGTGGCAATTTCTAAGAAACATTCAAAAACACGTTTGAATTTTACTATATATTTATTGAATTACATAGCTGGTATTTTGTTACACAACCTTTCCACCTTTTAAGGGATGTATGCATGTTATTTGTTTTCAACCCCTTCGATATATTCTGACCTGTACCACCTACCAAAAATCGACATGGACTTTCCGGACAACCCAATAACTACCGACTCGTTTAAAAAGAGTCTACAGCTCGCGAGAGGATTTCAATCTTCTTCTATCTTCTTTCTATCGATGATTGTTCCTGCACGTAAACAAAAAAAAAAGTTGAAAATGACGTACTCGCCGCGATCGGCGCGAAAAAAACACTTTTTGAACCATTTCAGTTTCCGACCCCTGGAGGGAGGGTGGACGGGGGGAGGGGGGGGGGTAGTTAAGGGTCAAGATGACCACCATTGTAATCGCCAGGTCAAGGGCTGATTATGATAATCAGCTCGATCGGAGGGTACCCCATTTCTTGAAACCCAACCCTAATCTAAAAAAACAAATTGCTCTGGTCTACCATGTGCTTGGATATCAAAGCAACCCACCCTTTCATCGACAAAGTTATAGTAACGATGAGAGAGAAAGATTAAAATATCGATAGATTAGTAGAAGTTACAGCATTGAACTATAGCACACGGAAAAGAAAAAATAATATTCATTCTATCGTTATTGTGAAATCAATTTTATCTCTAGAACACTGGTTACGTGTGTGCAAACAAAACACGCGTATCCACGTTTAGAGTGGTTGTTATTGTTGAGTCATCTCTTACACCGGAGGGGGTGTTTCCTTTGACAAAGCAAGGTCTGGACTATACATTAGGCGAATTATAGTTTTAATTTTTAAATTATAGTTCTGCTTCCAATAACGACACACAAGTACCGAAACTTCGATTTTTCTAGGAATTCGTTCCATAATTACGTAAGTGAACGTAGCGTCGAAAGACAGCGGAAAAGTTTGAATAAAGTTTAAATTGTTAGAGCTTGTAACTTGTAGGTCAATATTGTGTAATATATTCAACTAAACGTCGAAATAGTAATTTGAACATTTTACGAAGAACTTTAGTCCATTTATTTACCAATTATCCCCTTATTTATTTTATACGTCTTAGCTACCCTGTATTAAATTGTGTACCTGTCTATTAAAAGAAAATAAACAAATTTCAAAGTCTGGTGACTTTTTAAAATTGTGTGTCGACTTTTCACGTACCGTAAAAAATTTAATTAAGTCGTCAACGTTTTATTGAAACCAAGAACAAAAAGAGATTAAATTTTTACTTAAAAAAAAAAAAAAATAATTCATTCGTCATACTAATGCCATACTAAAATTAAGTCCAGTCCCAAGATTTGTTTCTAATTAATTGTAAGGGATAAATGCAATTTGCACGTGGACAAGTCTATTATTATTTGAAATTGTATACTTTGTAGCTGTGCCCAATTTTCTGTACAGAACTACGATCTCAAAATTAAGGTAATATTGGCGATAAAAATACTACACCCACATATACCCATATATACATTGCGACACGCAATTAGAACGGGTCGAACATCCTGTTTCCTTGAAGACAGAACACTGAATGGTAAACATTTTTTGATAGAATTATTGTAATAAAAACGTACATTCTGTAAAACAGATCGATTCCTGTATAAAAATATTTCAAAATAATAATAAAAATACTTAATACCCTCTCCACCTAACGGTACCAGCCATTCTTTTTAAATAGATCTATTCCTATATTATAAGAATTTAATGTACTTACGAATACTTTGAATAAAAATGAACAAGAGGTTCGAAGGTTTCGGACGCGCTAATATTAAGCGCTCAAATTTTGCAGAAATTTTTGTTTATGTACTTGCAAGGCATTTAAGGAGTGCGCAACATAAAAATCATTAAAAAAAGGACCACCCTTTTGGGACGAGGCAATATTTACACGTTCGAAACAAACCTATTTCCTTAAACCATTTTTGTGCATTGTTAACAGTAAAAGGAAGTATTTTTTAACGTTTATGTTAGATAGTACAATGTATATAATGAAAGCTTTGCCTCGCGTTGACATCAATAAATCAATTCGTATTATATATCCATTTTCTTATAGCCAAGTTTACTGTTATGCGCCATCCATGTTACAATTTCTTGCGATATTACAATCCTCGAAATAGATATTTAGAGCGTTACGTTCAGATGAAGCACCCTATGTAACGAAGGCTGTACTTTACGTCTACGTCAATGACAATCAATTCTTATTATATTACCACTTTCTTCTGAATCAATTTCCTATTATGTGATATCCGTGAAACGATTTCTTACGATATTAAAGCCCTCGGAATTTTCGCATTTCTGATCGCAGATCAACAAAATGGATCGCAGGTGTTCGAAGAGACTGATGCTCGAAGTGCAGGAAAATGGAGAGGAGAGGCTGGTCTCTTGGCAACACCTCCGAATGGGTATTTTCCGCAACAAAACGTCGGTCCAATTAAATTCGAAGTACCAAAAGTGCCCGTCATATTTGTCCTTGGTTCGTACCATACCGTTCGATTTTAAGGAAATCATTTCAACATAAAATTAGCAATTTTCCATAGCAATGGAAAACTTTAGGTATAGAACATTTTTTAGGGTACTGCCAATCCATTTCCTTTCTTTGTAGCAGTAATAGATTTTATAAAACGACAAAAGGTTTATTTTATATTTAAATTCTTAATCATTTATTTAATGATTTTGTATAAATATTTGTTAGGTGGTCCCGGTAGCGGCAAGGTGACACATTGCGACAATTTGATCCAAGAAAAGAAGGGCATAACACACATTAACATGATGGATCTCCTTCAACAGTACGCGCTCGGAAATGGTAAGCAAAATATGAAATAAGGGTTTTTTTTTAAACATTTATAGCAGCTTGAATAAAATAAAAAATTACATGCTTCGGGTTAATAATTGATAAATTGCTAAATTAAATTTGTTAAGTGAATATAAGGCCATGATTGATTTATTTCTCCGCGCTGGTATACTTATGCCGGATAAAGTGTGAATAGAATAAGTATACTTCTTTAGAAATGATGAGCATCAATTACCTATACAGAATGATGTTTTAATCGACTTTTCGGTTAGAACGTAGTATGACCTATTTCTGAAAACGAAAAATATTATTCATTGCCCTGCAAGTAGAGCGTAAATGAAGTAACAAAGGAAAAAGAATAAAATACAAGTTGTTACTTCGTGTAATTAATAATTATTACTTATTCATACGTTTAAAAAAAAAAACGTTAAGCAATGGTAATATTTGTATTGAAAATTATATTGTGTATCGTTCGACATCGATACAAAAGATTTTCAATTCTCCAAAAATAAACAAAAACGGTATTAATTTCTTTGCTTTCGTGTAATTAATCGCTCTGGCAGATATGCAAGATTTCGGGCAACTTAGCAGTAAGACTGTAGCGGAAGTCCTCATGCTCGAAATCAAGATGTCTCCAGGATCCAAAGTCTTTCTCGTCAGCGGATATCCACGTAATATGCGTGACGTAGTTGAATACGCCGATAAAGTAAGTTATCTGATCACTTCAACGTTGAAAGTTAAAAGTGTTTAAATATATTCTGACGTAAACGGTCTATATTGAACAGTTACGATACCGTTAGTTTACGAATGACGTACTTTCAGATAAAAATTGTAAATGGAGTGATCCTCGTGTCCTGGAGACAGGAGATCCTCGAAAGGCAAATTGACTTCGGTGCCCAGCTAGGACAAGTGGTCATCGAGCTGGCGAGAATGGAACTTTACAATTTTTATAGAAACGTTATGCCTGTCGCGGAATACTTTGATCAAAGCGGGATGTTGCTAGAGGTAAGTAAATATCTGTGTTCGCGTTGTAAAAAATAAATTAAGTACGTGGAAAATAAGTACTGCAACTCGTAACATTTTCTACGTCCTCCGAGCTATTCTTGAAAAGGCGGCTCCTTCGTGGAATAGCTGGCAACCTTGATTACTCAGTCAAATAATAGCTTATAAAGTCGTTCGCTTATGAGAACCACACCCATCTCCTATGACGAAGCTTTTCTAGAGAAATATATACTTGTACAGTGTCTCGTTACAGTGATATTGTATGCATAAAATATTACCGATTTAGTGAAAGTCATTCAGATGGAGATCGATAAACGTTTCTGAAATAAAATAGCGATGATTCGTATTTTCATCTATTTTTCGACGCCGAGTCCGTTAAAAAATCGTGAAAATACATTTCGCGAATTCGAGACTCCCGGTACCTGAAAATAGTGAATGTTACCATTATAATAAGTTGTAACATTATTGTCGATTGCAGGTAAACGGAGAAAGAAATCCAAACGATGTATACATCGATTTTCGCGAGGCAGTTTTTAAAATACTCGGACTCTCGAACGAGGTCCAAGACAAGAATGTTCCCCAAACTTTAAAAACAGAAGTACGTTATACTTTTTAAAACAGTGGTATTGTTCGCGTATTTTCGAGATAAAAGTAACGATATTTAATATATTTCAATTAACGTAAATATACGATAGGGGACGTAGTGATTTCATAATCAATAATTTACGAGCACCTGCGAAACGAATTGCAGGTAGAAATTGAAAGGAGAAAGGAGTCTGTTTCGAAATCGCCATCCAACAAAATTGTGGATGCAGAAAAAAGAACACAAGTATCTGTTACGAATGGTGTAAAGGCTACAAAAACTGCAGTTAGGCCTAGAAAGGGATTACCTCTGTTTATATGGGTTATAGGTAAGGTTTAGAAATGTATGAAAAAAAAAGTACACGAAATATTTGTATTTGGACTGTGATTTTGAATGCTCAGGTGGACCAGGAAGCAACAAAGAAAATTTATGTACTCAAGCTGTTCGCAATATGCCAGGTTGGGTCCATGTGAGCATAGGTGGACTACTCAGAACAATGGCAACGTCGAACACTATCGTCAAGGAGGCTATCGTGTCTGGAGAAATGGTCCCACAGGACATTGTAATGCAAGCGGTAGAGCAACAGGTCATTTTGAATCGTGACACGGATGGCATAATAATAGATGGCTATCCAAGGGGATTAACTCAAGTCCAAGAATTTGAAACTAAGGTAACGTGGGATAAAATAAATTGTAATATTGTCTTACAAGCGACCCAAACTGCACACTTTAAAACTCTCCAAAAGTACTAAACAATAATGGTGTAAGCTTTTTTATTAGGCCGTCCTAAAAGTTCGTGCCATTTATACTTCTGTTTCTTAAATTAATATGTGAAACATACTCTTAAGTGTCACAAGAAAAGGTAATCTGTCTCGTTTCGCAATAGTCTCTCACCTCTCTCACATAGTCATTATACCGTTACTAGAAAATTTCTGTGGTTTTTTTTATTAAATTTCGACACAGTCTTCGGCACGAACCTACGGAACGACCTAATATGTACTCTGAACGAATAATTGTATAAAGTATTAATTATTTCTACCTCAGTTTGGTCAAGAGCCACCTTTAGTGCTACTGGATTGTTCCAAGTTACAACTTGGTAGAGGAAGACTAGACGATAATGTCTCAGCATTTAAGAAAAGATTAGAACTCTTCCGTGAAGTATCATTGCCCATGTTGAAAGCACTGGATAATGAAAATCGCTTAACAATAGTAAGTATTTATAATCGAAAACCAAATTATGTCTGAAACCAAAGTAAAGTGAACTTCATTAATTGTCACAACTATGAAAAATGAAACAAAACATTTTTGAACACAGATAGATGGTGACACAGATGTACCAAGCGTACAACAAGAATTTGCTGCCGCGGTTTACCAATTGATGACTCAATCGCAACGTACAGCAAGGGAAGAGCCACGAAGTTCTAAATTATTAACGTTGCAAACAGAGAATGGCACCAGCCCTACCCAATTCGTTTCTAATAACAAATATCAAACCGTCATATCGAACGGAAATAGTAAACAATCATTTGACGATAATCCGAATATCGAGAACGCGATAAACGCTACGAAGAACATGAATGGAATTAGTCTGCAAGGTAAATAGTTTCCTTATGTAAAAAACGAAAACTTCGGAATTTTAACAAAACAAGCGTTTGTGCGACGAAATTAAAAATTCAATGTTTATTGCACAGGAGCAGTACAAATTGCCAATGGATTAAAGAATACAGCGAAACAGGCACAGAAGAATGGCGTTGCTCGTGTGCAAAATGGTATCGCAAACGGTGCTGCACACATGTTGCAAAATGGTGTAGCACATTTGACTAATAAAATCGTGCCAGATAACAATAAAATTGCACCAGCTATCCAGAATAATTTGACGAATGGCACGAAAGATGCTGTGAGGAAAATGTACAATGAAGTCGAGGGTTACCAACAGAGCTTACATATGTAACTGTTTGTCTGAACTGAAATATCGGGAATATTTCTATATGTTAATATTGTCAATATTCTATCAATAGTTATGTTGACCTAACTTTTTATAACAATATTTGCATTAAGTGTCACAAAACCGAGAAATATTGAAGCTACCTTTCAATAAAACTTATATAGCATTGTGCCTTAAAATGAACATAATTTAAATAGAACTAATAGAAGATTCAAGAAAAGCCAAACACAAAGTTACTTTTGCAGAGATAGTATAAGTACCCAGTTTAATAATAAGTGTTAAATTAGTAAAATATCGAGACAAGTGTTTAATTATACAAATTTCGAGACCAACTCTATCTGAGAGTTATCAGAATGATTTACTCGGTGCGTTTTTTTTTTTTTTTATATGTTATTTAATTCAACATTAAATTCCATCTCTCATTTGTAATAAGATTGACACAATTCAAAGAGAAGAAATTCTTTTAGAGTGTTAAACCTTTTTCCTTTTAAAATCCAGACGCGTGAAATCAAATGTATATACTATATATACATATATCATAAATGATCACTAATAGCCAAAATAAGGAGCCACATACGTAATTTTTTGTTTACTCTATAACTTTTGAATTATGTCAGTCTCTTCTCGGAGATAGCTATTTCATTATTTCTATTGTTTCAGAAAATATTTATATATTGCACTCTATTATTCGAATAATTTAATCTTGAAATAATTCAAGTTCTACGATTAGCGATTTAATTAAGGAATCATTAATAAATGTATTTCAACATAATAAAATATTAATAAAATAATTTAAATTTCCTAAAATTTAAATTTATTATCCGTTCCCACGAACGTGGCGCTGCGTGGTACAGCCAGAACCATCAGGAACAAATCACATGTGCACCCCCATGGTTCCTTCATGGAGGACAATAAAAAATAAAAATTTATTCGTTACTTTAAAATAAATTTTTCGATGTTATTTATTAATTCTTATTCCTTGTCCAAAATAAAATTTGTCCTACTCTAATAAGTTGTAGCTTGTGTGTAACTTCCATTGGAAACATTTATTCAAGACTCAGCGCCCTGCAATTCCGGCCTATCCGGCACTGTCAAAAAGCCATGTGGTTTTGTTTACCCAACTTTTCATTTTTACCAAATGAAGTATAAATTCAATTTTTTTTTTGACGGCATATCATGTTAAATTTTTCATTAACACTATCTATTCTGTATGTACATACATATATATATATATACATGCCTATATGTTTGGCTAATCTATACGAAATCTAATTAATATAAAATGAAAATTGTTTTTTAAGGTTCTCGCATATTGCTCAAACGTAAACATTAGTTAACATAGAAAATTTCAGATTGATTATCTTTTAAATTATTGTAAATCTTATATCCGATTGAAAAGTGAATTAAACTCTGTACATACATGTTATGGAGTGAAAATAGTGCTCTGTGATTTTCTATACAATTTATAAATCATAAAAGTGATCAATTTTTTAAACTTTTATGATATGGAAGTACTTGAATTAAGTGTATGGAAAGGTGATTGGGGTCTACCATCAATTGATGTAGAATGTTTACAAATTTTGGTATGTATTTTAAATAGAGGTTATGATACCTATTCGCGGTGCATGCTTTCTTTCCTAACCAATCAATGCCATGAAAACAAAATTAACGAATGAAATGTATTTATACATTCCACACACGATAGTTTTCAATAACAAAATTTCTTTTTGTTCATATTTTTATCACGACCAAACTTTATTTTAGTTACTTTTTATATAAATGAACTAAATAATAAAGCAAAAATCTTAACTCATGTTCCATAATAAAAATGTTTTTATACATATTCATGGAAAAACTTGAAATTTTACAATATCTTGCAATTTATGATGTTAATAATTTCAGGTCTATGCTAAATTTAATGGTATATCTTTAAAAGTAAATACTTCTGGCAATCCATTTAATGCACTTAATGGTCGATTACCTGTATTGAAAAGTAGTAGTGGCACTTTTGATACAGTTAAAGAAATAGTACAATATTTTAGAGAAAAAAATTATAACACAGAATCTGAATTAACTGAAAAAGAATGTGCAATAGTTGTTGCTTATGATGTAATGTTAAAAGAGAAACTACTTCCTGCTATAAAATTTATTTGGTACGTATATTTTTTAATTTCATTTCAAAAGTGATGCAAAATAAAGTAGCTAATACGAAATATTTATATTTTTAGGTGGTTAGATAAAAAAAATTTAGATGAATTGATAAGGCCCTGGTATTGCAAAGCACTGCCATTTCCATTAAATTTCTATTATCCAGGAAAGTTTGAACGACAAACTCGAGAAATGTTTGACACTTTATATCCTAATGAAGACAGTGTGGATGCCATAGAAAATCAGGTAACAACTGCTAATATTTGTTTTTCAAACATAATTGTTAGGTAATATTTACTAATGATCATTTATGTACATGTTCAGGTATATTCGGAAGCACAAAAGTGTTTGACATTGTTATCTACAAGACTTGGAGATTTAGAATACTTTTTTGGTGAAAAACCTACTATACTCGATGCCATCATATATTCCTATTTGGCATTGCTACTTAAAGTTCCTTTGCCAAATCCAGCATTACAAAATCATCTAAAAGCCTGCACAAATTTAGTCAAATATGTATCGCGAATATCACAACGATACTTTGAATACGAATATCACAATTATGAACAACGTAAGGCTGAGGAGAATTCACAAAAAATGAAGAGTGATTCAGAAAATGATGTTCCTAATAAAAGGTGGAATCAATTTCTTGCTGGAATTTTTGCTACTTTAGCAATGGTAGGATATGCGATTTCAACTGGAATAGTGGAGGTAAATCTTGCAGATTAAATAAAATACTAATTAAATCAATGCTGTCTACGAGTGTAATCCTTTACGTACCTTTGTCCCTTTTGACGTCACGTCAACGCATTTGTATGAATCAGGCACACATACTAAAGAAAGAAAACGTCCAAAAGCTCTATGGAGCATATGCTGGACAGCACTGGTTTAGGTAGTAATGATTCTTTTATATAGAATATTTATAATTTGTTTGGTCGAACTTATCTAACTTAATTAATCTTATAAACCATCCTTACCATCCAAGACTAACAAAGGGTTTGAATCAGTATGAGAAATATTTTGTATAGCACACAGAAGTTGTGCAACTGATGTAAAATTCCGAACGTCACATTTTCAAGGCCGTTATTTTGTTAACATTTTTGTATGTTGTTTATTCTAGAAGTGATGGTAACCACGTTCATTGGGATTAAAATAAGCTTGGAATTTTTTATTTCAGAGGACAAAAAAAGGCCGACATAGTGCTGTTGTTGACTCTAAAATGTTAGAACATGACATACACGAACGTTAATAACTTGTAAAATATTAATAACAGCTTATGTCAAAATTTATGCATTTAGGTAAAATGTTAATAAATTTACGAAAAATGCCACTGTGTAGTGTTATTCGTTTCTTCAAAATAAATCCCCACAGATGACCTTAACCCTTTTGATTCATTACGATTTTTTTCTAATAGAAATAATTTGTGTTAGTAATATGAACATAACAAAATAAGTACTCGCCTTTTAAAATATTACATAATTTATTGTCGATGACTAACAATTTTGTTATTAAATAACTTTAACTTTCATAATAATTTTAACTACTATATTGAAAAATATTAAGAGCGTGCTGCAATTACACGGGCACGACGTTGATCCACGCAATTAGAAAATTCTTTGACTAGATTAGAGCACATCAGAATTTCTTTAGGATACTCTTGGTAACACTTGAGTACTTTTGTAGTATTCTCTAAACATGGTTGTATGGCATCTTGAACATTCACATTCTTTTGATCTGTAAACACAGTATCAAGAGAACTAATGTATATAACTTATATTACTTTGTAATACAGAACAAGGTTATTAAAAATAAAAATCATTAGAAATAATTGTAAGTATAAAACAAATGCAAACAATATTATCTTTATAAGAGTATGCCATTAATTTTATGCATACCATTTACATATAATTCTTCAGTAGCCTTTTTATATTCTTGATCCATAATATTATTAATTTTTAAGTGATTCTTTTCCAAATTTTTTAAACGATTTTGCCAATATTGATCTTGACTATGAAGTTCGTGTTCTTTCTGTTGCTGTATTTCAAGAGCAGATAATGTTAATTGTGGATAATGATATACAGGATATCCAGAAGTCAATGGTACATTGCTGCTTTCAGATGGCTTTGAAGATACAACTGTTGATTGTGTATAAGTAGTAGGTCTTACTTCATCACGTTTTGTTTCTGAACCAGAACTTGTTTCTTTGGCTCTTTGAGTCAATCGTTGTACAACTGCATTCGATACCTTAATAACATCTATTTCTTCATCGTTATCAATTGTAAGCTTACGAGCACTTTGACCAGCTCCCATTTCAATAATTTTTATTTGTTGTTGGAAAATTCAAATTTTTTATATTTTGAAAATCGAGTACCTCACGAAGTGTAAATTTATTAAATATCAATAGTTAAGTATATATAAAGTAGTTAGCCTGAAAGGATATATAAAATTGTCGTGGAACACATTATACATTTATAGCATAACTATTATACATTATATACTTATTATAATAATATAAATATTATGTATAAATATTCACTACGAAATTATCCTCACGAATAAATTTAATCAAACTACATTTTATAAATATTTCGATCATTCACGTCAAAACTTAATGTTACGAAACTATGGTTATGTTCTAAAAACATAGGTTTAATATAACAAGCATATTCCTGCCACTTATATTTTGATGAATTCAAGAGTACATTTCTTACTTCTAGCAGGACGATTGCCAATAATCTTTACCTGACCTTATTCGTATTGACGTAATTCTTTATCATGAAAGCAAATACATTTTCATGTGTTTTTCTCGTTGTTTACAAATTTCAAAAAAATCATACGTATGCTCAAACTCCTTTATGGTATTTTATTAGTAGATATTAATGAAAAAATGGCACTGATTTGTTACACACATGAATTTGTATATACATTGTATTGCACATACCGCCGAGCTATGCTTTTTGATACATAACCTGTTCGTTATTATTTAAACTATTTTTACTCACCAATGGCGTTCTTTTGTACAACCTCTGCCAAAAGTTCATACCGGTTCGTGCAATTTTCGGGGAAATTAACTAGCAAGAGACCTTCTCCTTCTCCTTGAAGGACGCGCGCATCGCACACAACATATGTGTACGCCGTCGTGCCTCGTGCCACAAACTGGTAACCTTACAGAGACGAAACTCTGCGTTTATCGGGTCTCACGCCCGAGTACGCATGCGCCTTTGAAAGAGGGAAAATACTATCTGGTTCAAACACATTTTCATCATTAGAAAATTTTACTATCGACTACGACGTTTAAAAACGTTTATGTTTAGAATTTTATACAAAATGCGGGTTATCATATATATGTAAATATTCACGTTGAAAAAAAAACATGACTTTAACAACTTGCATGTTGTTAAGATTACTATAATAACTAAACAATGACAGATAAATGTTCATTAAACTGTTCATAAAACTTTGAAGGTAGAGATAAAACGACAGTATTATAATCTACCGATTAGAAAAGTAATAAAACTCATGCAATGTATATAACATGAAAGTGTGAAAAAATAACCATTTTTTGTGCATAATTGAAAAAATATTTTATTTGAATTTTTATATGTAAATGCATATAATATACACGCACGCACGAACACATATGTATAAATGTACATAATGATATAATTGTAAATAAATTTTAGAAACTTTATTCTATACCAACATGGCTAATGTACCAGGTGTATAAATTTTTACTTGACGATCTGATAATTTGTAAATGTACCTTACTATCTCTGACCAATTATATTTTCTTCTGATATTATCTATTCTCCAATTCACCGTTATTTTTCCAGACGCGTCACTTGAATATCCTGTTTCAAAAGGTTCAACCATAACAAATAAGTGTGCCATATGTTTCAGACTATGTACAAATGTATTGAGAATACAACTATGCAATTCGCGTTCGTATGTATGAATTACAAGGCAAAGTTGAGATACATTGTTAAATTCAACCAGTGATCTTAAATATCTAACATAATACATGGTGTCTTTCAAACTGAATCCTAAGTTGTATAGATGACTTAAATCATCAATTACAATAATTACAGGATTATCATGTTTTGTCATTTCAAGATATGCATTTTTAATAACAGTAAGCAAATTGAGGATTATATTGTCCTTGTTATCAAATGACGGTTTGGTAACAGGTACATTTAACTTATTTGTTGTATTTCCATCTATGCATTGCATAATGGTTGCAATTACTTTCATTGGCTCTACAATTTTAACCTTACCTTCTTCTCTTAATATTGTAAGGTTATAGCCAAATTTCATACTTACATTATGATAATGGTTAAAAGTATTATGAAAAAGTACAAAACAGATACCATAATTCTTTTTCAACGCATCAAAAATAATTGAATTTAATAAGAAGCTTGCATTGATGTCGTGACGTTCTTCGATTAAAATTATTTTTCCACCCATATTTACCTTGTCGATACCAAGCATATCGGATACTGACTCCATTGTGCGATCAACAATTTGCACTAAACGAAAGAAAGTACACAATTGAAAATAAATGTTTTTATTTAAAGAATTTGTGTAGTATACATTGTTCAAAAACAAAAAGATTAGGACTTTTATTCTTTAGTTTACGTACCTTTTGTTATATATTTTCACATCTATCATAAGTAACCAAATTAAACTGGATATCTGCAACTATCAGTTTTATCGAAACTTGTGTTTTAATATATAAAACGTGATTCCTCCTTTAAAATTCGGTACGTGTATACAGGTATACAAGATGAGGTTAGAAACTTCATTCTAACCTTATTGATTGTATAATACCGGCATTAACCGCGCGACCTTTGAATAACGATTACGTTTACGTTAAAATTATACATAAGTATTCGAATGTAAGTCATGTGTGTTATTGCTTTTTTTATTTTTTCTACTTCATGGTCATCTTCAATTGTTTTTTTTTTTTTAAACAAATGTATGTTACACTTTATCGCGTTAATTTGTTTTGTTTTTCAATTGTCAAAAACTATTAAAAGGATGCTTTAATTCTCCGGGCAATATTAAAAGTAACAGAGAAATACCAATATATCATACATATACAAATCATATTGTGCATATGCAATTATATTGTACATAAAAAATTAAATATGACTCGAAATTTTTAAAAATTACAATCGATAAAGAGTATTAAAATAGTGCGTATATTATACAGCTTCCCTTATATTATGTAATATTTATGTCAGTTTTCGTAAAAATCAATGTTTACAACAATACTGTCCAATGTCCAACTTCCCCCACTCTATTTCCGTTACAACAGTATAGAAACAGTGGGTTGATATCGCATTACGTTATCACACGCCCCATTAAAAAATAGAAGGGACAAGTAGAGTGGGATAAAGAACCCCACCATTTACCGCTACTTTACATAGTAATTAGAGCAATGTTGCTCTAATTACATAACCACCCTAACAAAAAATGTAATATTACATAATACTGAATCATCGACAAATAATTTCGTTTGGGTATTATTATTTATATTATTCAATTGGTAATTGAATTGTAATATCTAACTATTATTTGAATAAAATGTCGAACTATTATTGCTTGGGAATTGTTCTTTTTTTTACACATTGAAAAAATTTGAAAAAGTTATATAGTAATTCGAAGCTAAACCACAGCTAAAAGATAAATTTAAAATGTTTAATAAAGTTAATACAATTTAAGTAATCAAATAATGTAAGCACTTTGGTTAAAATATTTTTAGAAAGTAGGAGGGTACAATCCACAGTATAATGACATAAAGTGATATTATTTATAATTTCTTTTAGTGTAAACAGAAATAGGAAATTGTTAGTGCGCAAGATTTTAACAGGGAAAATGTGTAAATATATATATAATTATGTTGCATAATTTGAATGAGATACAATTTTGGAAATTTTCTTTTTCGTTTTAAAATATTTCATTGATACAGTAAAATTTCGTCGAAAAACGATGAAATGTGTTCCTTATAGTTTTCGAGTGACCTTGCATATTATCGCTATTTCACGAAAAAAATATGAGCTAAATGCAATCAATTTCGAATCCAACTATAAAAATATAGTTTTAGCCTTGATAGAAAGAGGTGGTATTACACGTGGCTATCAGCTGATGCGTGCGCGTTCGTCGAGTTTCTAGGGTCAGTAATGTGATGAATTTCATCAGACGAAGTTCAGTTTTTTTACTGGCATGCTTAAAAACCAACAATGATCTAAAAATCCGATCGGCACCACGACATACAGTAAGTTTTGATTTTCCTAATATATCTCTATCTCCGTGCCATTTATTTTGTTACGTTTACGAATGATGTTTTTTACTTACTATTAATTGTAAAACTAAAAATTGTAACGTGCTTTTATTCTAACTTAACCCTTGTCTCGTTTGAATAAAAAATGAATCATTCCTTTAATTAAATATGTATTACATGGTAAACATGGTAGTCTCCTTAATTGGCAATTCTTTGGAATCGATATAATTACATAAAATTGTATACATGTCGCGTATATAAGCGATAGATAGATCTTATCCGACCACTAAAAAAAAAAAAGAAAAATATAGTTAATGCTTAACATTGTAAATCATGAAGGGGTCACTTGTATATATCTATGTACGCAATAATTATATCTGTTACTTATATCTTTAGTTTTGATAAGTATGCCAGAAAATTATCTATTGGATTTATTAAAGAGAAGAATATAAGTCCCAAGAATTTAACAAGTTTGAACATTTTTGTTAATAAATAAATAATTAATTAATTAAAATAATGTATTGCGTTTAAGATAATTCTAGATTTTATTGTCTACTTTTAATTTCAATTGCTTCATTTAAGAAATCCCCAAGTCTTATCTTTTATTCATGTTTTTAACATATTTTGTATATATTTTGTTTATATTTACACTACTATCTTAGCCATATAAGAAAAAGTAAGTTCATTAAATATATTGCATTTTATATGATTTGTATATTTAAAATATAAATTTGACTTGTAGCTACTTAAGCATGCTACCCTTAATTTCTCCTATGAAGACATAACACATGGAAAAAATGGCAGATGAAACAAAAAAATTGTCACGTTGGTATTTTGGGGGCCTTTCGTCTGCAGGTGCTGCTTGTGTTACCCATCCTCTGGATTTGTTAAAGGTATTTTTGTTACTGTATCCTACTATACATATTCGAGTTACTAATCCAAATTTGTATTAATAAATGAAAATAAATTTACAGGTTCATTTACAAACTCAGCAAGAAGGGAAAATATCTGTACTACGATTAACAACATCTATAATACAAAAACAAGGAATTACAGCTTTATACAATGGACTTAGTGCTTCTTTACTTCGTCAGTTGACATACTCTACAATGCGATTTGGTGCATACGAAGTACATCTAATCTTTTTAGTTTATGATTAATAAATTTGAGGAAGTTTGTATTTTATTATACATATATTTTGAATACATTATACCCATATAGGTAGGTAAACAAACATTTGAAAAACCTGGACATTCATTACTATTTACTCAAAAGTTACTACTGGCTGGACTCTCAGGAGCAGCTGGTGGTGTTATTGGTACACCAGGAGATGTGATTAATGTACGCATGCAAAATGATATAAAACTTCCAGCAGAACTAAGACGAAAGTAAGAAAGTACTTATTTATATTAATTTTATTTTATTTTTGTTAGTTAACATTGAATGTTATTGTAGTTACAAGCATGCTCTAGATGGAATAGTATGCATAATTCAACAAGAAGGTGTAACTAAATTGTTTAGTGGATGTTCTACTGCAACATTAAGAGCTGCATTAATGACTATTGGACAATTGAGTTTTTATGACCAAATTAAAATTATGTTGCTACAAAGTGGTCACTTTAAAGATAATCCTGCTACTCATGTATTATCAAGCGTATGCGCAGTAAGTATATTAAAAGGAAATCTTCCAAAATGTACCAGATTCTATTAATAATACTTGTACAATCCAAGGGCGCTATAGCTACAACTCTAACACAACCATTAGATGTTTTGAAAACACGTGCAATGAATGCTAAACCTGGAGAATTCAAGGTAACTTCCGTATCTATAAATGTGATAAAAAATGATTCATTTTACATCCAATAATTTTTTTCTTTTGTAGGGTCTAATGGATTTATTTGTTTACACTGCTAAGCTTGGTCCATTGGCATTTTTTAAAGTAAGTTGATTAATTAATTATTTATTATAGTTATTTCAAGAAGCTATTAATCTCTATCTTATTTCAGGGTTATGTACCTGCATTTATTAGACTAGCCCCACACACCATCCTAACATTTGTATTTTTGGAACAACTGAGATCTAATTTTGGAGTGTATCCTTCTAAAAGCTCATAGTAAACCTCAACCAATTTCCTAGGACATAAATTAAAACACGCACGCGTGCCCACGCACATACACATATTGGGCTACCAAGGTATTTGAATGCTTTCAACTAAAAACTATAATGAACAAAGTGAAGATTTTAAACTATTGTTATGGCTATATAATTACTTCGTATTATAGACACAATTAGCAAGATAATATTAGCAGAATTCGAAGTTCTGGTAACTCATGTGTAGGAATTATGAAGTATTCATTTTAAGTATTTATACGTTCGAAGAAAAAATGAGCAGATAGCGTGGACAGTTATGTTAAACATTAGTAAAAATTTAAGATTAAATCAAGTTAAAACTTAATACTAATGGCAGTTCGTCGAAATATTAAACAGTCTAATACATTAATAACATTTATTTGAATATTTCTACAATATTTGCTAATATAATCTTGATAATTGTGTCTAATTATAGGCATAGTACATATTTTTTAAGTGCCAGTAAATCTGCACATTTTGTTTGTTACATTGTTTCACCATCCACTGTTTATAGTGTTGCATATTAGTATTTTCAAAAAGTGTACCAGATACACTGGCACAAATGTTGAATAGTACTATATATTTATTTAAACTATTGTGAAAATATTGTATCTATACTGTTTACAATTTATCATTCTTTAAGGAGTGGTGTACAAACGTATATTTTTAAACGTATTTAACAAAAGAGAAAGATATATTTGTTATTATTAAAATAAGGTATTTTTCATGGTAAATCAGGCAATTATTCAATCTTTGGTTAGAACATGTTGCGTAACACGGATACAAGCGCTTTCAATAAACGTTTAACGAGGTCATGATCAAATACATAAAAAGTTAATGATAATACTATCATGCTTAGAAAAAGAACATTGGTATATAAGTAAGGTAGTTTACTTCACTTATATACTAATGTATTTTCTCTAAATATAATATAGTCTTATCATTAATTTGTTATACAATTTTTTTGTATATTTATTTGTGTATTCAATGATGATCTGCTTAATAATTGAAAACATGTATATCCATATTGTGCAACAGGTTCCAATTACCATTTAAAATATCTTACTCTATTCTTATTACCTTCATAAGTAGATAGTGATCAAATTGATAACAGTATGAGAACTATCAAGATAATATTTATAGTTACTGTCTGTTTTTCTGTTAAGCACAAAGTATTTTTTAAGCAAGATAATACATTCCATGAAAATATTCCTATACTTGTGTTTTGACACGTATACAACATTATACATTCATGTTTTATTGAATGATATTAAAACAAATATTGTTTATATAACAATATACTCTTTTTACAATTACTAATGAAAGAACTTTGATGATAATATATGGAAAAAAATATTTTATGCTGACTCTATATATTGTAAATTAAATTATTTTGTAATAAACATTATACATGATTTGCCAAAATAAATTTAAATTGCAATTACAATACTATTTTTTAATTTTTCCCGATATGATAACATAACAATTAATTTGTTTAAATATATAGAAATCTTGTTAGTTATAAATGGTAACACATTATGATACACTTAACATGTTCACAGTTTTGTAGTGTGACAATTATTTAAAGAGAGGGATAATAATATTTTTATTCTTTACTTTACATACCCTTTGTCATATTTTTTCACATCTAAGACAATCGCCCAAATTGAACTGGATAACCGCAACAATCAGTTATTCCGAAACTTATACTGTAATATATACTTATACTTATATAAAACGTGATTCCTCCTTTAAAATTGAATACGTGTTTACATAAGATGAGGTTAGAAACGTAATTCTAATCTTAACGATTGCACAATATCGGGATTAACAGCGCGATCTTTGAATAAACATTAGATTTGGATTGAAATATAAAATATACGATATTTGTATAATGTATATGTTACGGTGAATGTAATACATGCGGTGTTTATGCATAATCTACACTAAAGTTGGTAAATGTGATAAATTATGGAACATTTATCAAATTGACCGGCGATTTTATATAATCCTGAACTCGTTGATAATATGGGGAATGATGCTGCCTACACCGAACTACTGCCATCTAGCGGATGATATGTCAATTATTTCCCGACAAACTAGGACAGTCTGCCAAAAAATGGCGCCACATTTTTTCGATATTTTTATTTATTTAAAAAATTTAACGTCAGTCAATGATTAGTGTACAAATCACCTAATACGCATAATTTGATTCTTCTGTCTTCATTCGCTAAACGTTCTTCTAAAGGTTAAAACATATTTTCCGTATTTCTCTTTGGGAATATATACACCTTTGAAAGCGAACATATTGGTTCGTATATGTACGTAGATGTAACAAAAAATTGTTTTCTTACTTCAATCATGTATAGAAGTAACTATAGCGATCAGCAAAATGATTGAGTGGGCCTGTGTCGACAAGGTAGAGTATTCTGCTGGTAAGGGTGTTAAGGTAGAGTATTCTGCTGGTAAGGGTGTTAAGGTAGAGTACTGTGTCGACAAGGCAGAGGAATCTGTTGATAAGGGTCTATAGGGTAAAATATGCTATAACAGGTTGACTGGCAGAACATTTTGATTGAATGCACAAACTGGAAAGCTGTTGGTAATATCAATATTTTCAGTTGATTACAAATTACTTTACAGCAAAAATATGTCAATAGAAGCTAAGTGGAGTTACATTTCGTAAATTCTTATAAAAAAGGGAGTGACCTATTGGCAGGCACACGCAACCAATGTATTAATATAAAGGAAAAGTCAAAAAGTACAGATAATTTTGCTTAATTTAAAGGTATATATTAAACATATTGAATCCAATATTATATGGAAACAGACAATATTTTGTAATAATGATATATTTCAAGATATTAGAAAAATATACATCTATCCATTATACTCATAAAAAATTGCACTGAATCAGGTTCACAAAGTGAACAAGTTATCACTGTATTTTTAATTCGAAAAACCGCATTTGTTGTATAAATGTAAAGTTCTTTAACATATTCTTTATCGGGAGTATTTTATTCAGTTATCCAACTCTATCGCAATTTATTCTGTTAATTCAGAACATAAATAGATTGTATAACTTGATTACAATATTAGATTATGGGAAAGTATGTTTATTAGTGTTTATAAGTGCGTTTCATAATTCGTACTATTACTTTGTTATGAATTATTGTTGTCTTATGATGTTTTAATATTGGTCATATTTCTACAAATATAAGTGATAATTTGTTATACAAAATTTTACTTCAAATCAATGACGTCAATCACTGATGACCAATGAGCTACAAAAAGAAATTTTGATGTTGGTCAATAGTGATCGAGGCGATCGCAAATTTATTAACATTGGAAAAAAGTATTATTAAGCATTTGTTATATAATTATAATTTAATCAACCAAGACATGCACTATTAATATATCAACACTACTTAAAACAGTATTTCTTCAACAATTCGTTATTAAAAGAGACAGTCTTTCATTCAACTGTAAAGCATATATACGTTTTACGTTAAAAATCTGATATTGTAATTTTTTCACATTTATCAAACTGGCAAATCTATACAAAACTGAATAGTATGTATAATTTAATTGTAATAAATGTACTATATCTATACTCACACCACACGCCAAATTTTATATAGATACATACACGCACACACACGAAACATATGCTTTTATAAGTCACCTGGGATATATAAAAGAACTCTTGTATTATTGTTACACTAAATAAACAACATTAACTTCATTTTTTGATTTCCCTTATTTCTACACATTATTTAATATTTATTTCATTTATCTACGTCTCTGTATTTTTAAAATGTTGAAATATGTTGAATGTTATTTTAAAATGTATATTTAAGTAGATTTCAAATAAATTTTAATATAATTATGTCATCAAATACGATCTATGTACATAAAATAATAATTACCTGCCCTTAAATAATAAAAAAGGTAGAAGTGTCTGTTGAAAATGTAAGTAAGTCACACAGATTATTAAATATACACAAATGAACATGGTAAAAAGTTCTTATTATTACATCTACACATGGCAAATTTAATGAATCAACAAAACATTCTTTTTATATCTATATAATGTTATATTCATTGATAAATAAATCAATCTAACATAATCATTCTCATCCATGTAGACATATTTCGTATGTAATATAGTAAATAATATTATGAGTAGTGATTTTACAACAGAAACAAGTAAAAATAGATTTACTCTAATCAACGTGCTCGTTGTTTATAACGATATAATTTTTAGTACTATTTTGTTAATAAACCTTTCTACCTTACACTTTTCACAAAAAGATATTTTCTTATAAGTTTATCTAAATTTTGTAAGGGTGAAAATATTTAATAAACGAGTGAAGTTGATTACTTTACAAGTAAATTGCACCATAATATTATATAACAACATTTTCAGATTACAGTATATTAAAACACAGTATAACATCTCTTTGCTAAAAAAAATTGGAGATTCTTTCAAGACACGTAACAAATTAATATATTTAAGAAGAAATTAAATAATTGTAATTCCTAGTTACATTTGATTATTTTGATTCTTTTACTATTCGTTTCATTGTTAACGACAAATTTACGAGTACTGTAAATTTACAGAAATTCATGCAATACTCATTTTTAGTATGTATTTCTTTAAAATTACATACTCCTCGAATTTGTTCTGATATAGCTTATAATTATATTTTATATCTAACAGTTCATATCTTTATATTACGTTATGTTTCAACGTATTTTAATATTGCAAACTATTAATATTCAATCATTGTTATAAAACTTTACTGTTTCTTTCACTTAATGTTAAACAGTTGCAAGTTGCAATGAAAAGTATTTGAAGAATTGTCCTTTCTTCATGAGTTGACTAAACTTAGCGTTAATTTTATTTTCATGTAAAAAAATGTCGAAATGGAAACAAATTTTGATTTTATGTTACACTTATTACAAGTGAACATGGTATTTTCTTAATTATACAAAATACATTGTATTATTTAAATTTCTTTTCTAATTTTTACTCACTTCTCCTCTTCATTCTATTGTTCTGTTAACAATATAAGTACTATATAATTAATTTGACCATCACAGAGAAAAATTGGTTTTACAGTCTGTGATGAGCAACTTTAAATATAAAAATTTATAGTCATTGTGTTGTATGATCTTAAGGTTTTTCTATAACAGTGGTCGGCAACCTTTCTCGATCTTGGGTCAGGTTTGATAAACAATAATTCTTTCCTAAAGTTCGCGGATTAGTATTATTTGTCAATACCTTAATTAAGTGAAATTACTTATACAAGTTAAGACTGTTAAAGAAATTAAACAACTCAATTAAAAATATTAGTAAATGATGTGTGTGGTCGCTTGGTTTTAAAATATTTGACTTTATATTTGTAACTTTTAAATGAACACAATCATTTTACTGTACTGCAATAAGACGATTCCAAATTATTAAGACATTTCATTTTTGACTATTCTGGCTTGGTAAACAATTGATGATTCAATTGTTTTGACTTTATGAGTATCATTGGCTAATCTGCAGGTCATAGGTTGCCGACCCACTACTCTATATATCGGCTTTATGGGAGGTGTGATACGACAGAGAAATGAGATTCTTCAGGTGAAAATATATTACATTAAAAAGTAACTTTGATTGAAAATAATAATCTTGTTAGTTACATACAAACCTAGTTATGAACGTAACAAAATAAGTACCTCTGCTATTCTTGACTATGACACTATTTTTCACAAATGTATATTCCACTTAAACAATCGTTTTTAATTATTAATCCGCACACGGGTAAACGTTTGTCTTATTTTGATTATAATGGAATAAACATATTTCTGGCGCCTACTTACATTGACGTTGAAACCATTTAATCAGCCGTTTGAAATGAATAAGAATGAAACATAAATGTACTAAGTTATAAAATGATGAAAAGCGTATAAATTTGTGCCTGTAAATGTGGAATTTCTAATATGGGTTTATAACTGTTTTAATCTATAACACTTAACTCCATTTCTGGAGATCAATACTCAAACAAATTCGAAATGATTAAAAAATATCTTCGAATATACTGATAAATTCTGTGCTTCTGTAATGTCTTTATAAAATGGACTTCAATGAATACAATGAGGCCAGCAAATATAAGCAATTAACAGTAGGCAAAAAATATTAAACATTTAACTACATTGTTAAATAAAGGAATTTTTTTGTTGGCACTTAATGTACAAAAATGATACAATTTAAATGAATAATTAATATACATTAAGAATAATAAAAAAAAAAATTGAAGGGCTATCTGTCAGAAAATATAATATTAGAGTTGATGTAACTCATTCTAGAGTCTCAATGTGGTATGTTAAGTGCATTAAGAAATTTGAGATATGTACATGTATAAAAATTTGTATGAATGTGTGCAGCAAATTTTAGCTATTAATAATTTAAATACGGATATACCACTGTCGTGTAAAACTATTTAAAATTATCTTATGTTTCACTTACGAATGCGTCATTTTCTGATTATATCACACCTTATGAAACATTTTGTATAAAAATGTATAACCCCAAAAAAAGACCGAAACCTTTCATTTTAACAATAAATAAGTTAACATTCTAATGTTAACACACAAAACTGTTTACATTCTAATGTTAACACACAAAACCTTCATTATGATTAGAACATATCGTATGAATACATTCATAAGAAATCAATGATTCTTCGAGATATGTATAATAAACATATGAATCTAATAATTCTGTACTTATAAAGAAACATTCTAGTATTTGAGAGGAAAGTCAATTATAATTATATTGACATTCTGTTAATTCTACAATAGAGAAAGAGTAATTTTAATATATAAATTGCTTCAAAATACGAGATCCTTTAAAATCATCATTCGTTTACATTAAAAATTTTGAAGCATTCAACTTCTACCATGATTATGTTACGTTGGAATCTGACTTAATTTAAACATTTTTTTCTCTCGCACACATAATGTTGTGATTCCACGTAATGTCAGATAATTATCTGTCCAATGTACTAAACGCCAATAACATTGCCATGAATGCTAAGAAACGAACAATCAATTTAATTGAGATTACGAAGTTTGAAAAACACGGAGAGGATACAGGATGGATAAACTTGACAAACAGGGCTGGTGATGCGAACGACGAAGGTGGTCATCTGGTTGGTGAATCGATCGAACGCGGATGTTGTTCCAGAGTCCAGGTGTTAGCACGGGGCGAGTGGATTCCATTGTTAGCACTCCAAGCCTATAGGCCATGGGCAACCAATGTTAAAAAGAAAGAAAAGAAAAACAGTTTGTTAGTAATTTGATTATGATTGATTCATGTTAACATTAAGTCTCCGAACAGTTCAATAGTTGAAAGAAATGTAGTTAGTGGGAAGCAATGCCTTGGCTTAGAAATTCACTTACTTTTAATTACGTGAAACATAATCTATCTGCATAATTCACAGCGTTTCTCAAAGTGTGTTCCACAGAGCTCCACGGATCTTTATAAAATTAAAACTATTTTTATAATGTTAAGTGAATTGATAATTAAGTATTTGTAATTTTATCAAAGTTGTAAGTTATAATACAATACATATAGTTAAGTAGAATCCATATAAAGAAAAAGCTTTTTGGAGCTGTGCATACATTTTCAAAATAAAAGGGGCTGTAGGAATTGAAAATTTTGAGAACCGCTGGTCTAGCAAATAGCATTTGCTACTTTTTGCGTTTAAGTAAGGACTAAGATCAAGAAGGAAATCATCATCAACAGTAATAAACAAGCAACTGCTTCACACTCTTTTTGGTCAATATTAGTGTTTAAGCATTTATTTCATATAAAACATTATATAACAAAAACATTGTCAGAGAATTGCATTTCACCAAAATGAAATTTATACTTCGTTATTTGCTGGCTAATGCTTATAGTTTTTAACCCTCTAATTTCTAAACAATTATGAATTTTTTAGCATAATCAGAAACTTCACAATGTCTATAATTTGTTAAAATATTACTATGTAATTCTTTATATAAATATTCATAACTAGATAATAACATCATGTTAACAGATTGATTAAACAATTTTTTGAATATGTCGTATCTATATTTATAACATAATTTATTTCAGTTTCATGAATTTTACATATTATAATTTTCATTGCTTATTAGAGGGTCAAACTATTTTGATTTTAAGGTTTACAAAATCATGTACCCTCCCCGCGCATAGGATAGTCAAGATGATAAATCCATAAAATTATATGGAATTCTAGAACGATTAAAAGGAATAAATAAATATATAAAAGCAGATTTAGAATAGTGATATTAAGAGGACTTTAAAGTAGCTCTCTATTTCCCACAAGATTATATCAATTTTATAGGCAGCTTGGGTGTGCACCTGCCACCATATAGCAGCATTAAATAAGTAACATTCTATACATGTATGATATTAAACACATAGTGATGGCAATGCTATTACTGTGAATCATATAAACTTCCACAATTAATATCCTATTAGCAAGCAATGCCCAAATGTCACTAAATAATACATACGACATATAAGGTCAATGTAAGTACAAACTTTTAAAAATACAAACTATCTTGGTGTTGAAATTTATAAATTATACAAATATGATTAATGTAATTACATAAGTACATATAAAAAGGGAGCTTGGAGAGATATGTACATATAAGAAGCAAGTGTCTTCTGTTAATATCATTAACTATCAACATTTATGTTTTACCTTCAACAAAAATCATTAAATATATTGCCTAATATATTCTATGTAATTTCACAAAAGCCGTGCTCTCTGCATGATGACGCTGTTCCATTATATTAAACTCAAGAGCACATCACTTGTCTTTTCCATAATTTGATGATAAATTATTTCGTAAATACAAAAATATTTTTAAATGTTTTTTTAGAAATTATACAATTGTGAGATTCAGCATGCTATATATATTTAAATATTCATATGCATATTTAACTTTGATTATAATTAATAAAAGGCTTGCTGCTTAAAGTCACCCTTAGTTTTAACTCACAATTTCCTTGGTTTTTGAATAAAGTTAGTGTCAACTTGGCCATGTGGAGCATTTTTGTTAGTTTCATAAAGACAATGCTTAGTTATACGATAAGTGTAATAGGTAAAATTGCATCTATAACGAAAGTGCCATTATAAATTACATGTGGTAATTGTTAGTGGTGATACATAAAGAAGGATAGGATGCAATTTTAGGATTGAATTATAACTTCCGTTTTACATGAAGTTCATCCCAAGTTGTTATTGGAAAACGTGGAAGAACAAAAATTGTTGAGAATTGTTGACAACAAACGGGAAAATTTGGACCAATGATGATATTAGTCGATTAATTTTTACTGACGTATCGAAAAACACCACAACTAAATTATGACATACATGTAAATTTTAGATACTTTCAAGTTTACATGTTTCTAGTTATGCAAATGGTATCCTGGATTCATATGGAAAACTTACATCCAAAAATTTAAAGATAATGTATCCAAATTTTGTAATAATAAACGTATTGTTTTATAATTTGAACCTTCGCATCGTATCGTAGTACCACTCCTGTTACCTTCATTCAAAATGAAAAAACTACTTATCGATACTTTGTATATACATTTATTTAAAATACGCGTACATCGTGCACGCGTGCACACATATACACGCACAATTAGGCAAATTATATAAAAAGTCAATAAGTGTTCCACAGGCACAAGTTGCCAATACACTGGATTATATAGGTTTACACATGTTGGAGGTAGATATATGCACGGAAATATAAGATTACCTTATAATACACCTATTTAGAAAGTGATTTTTTTGCTTTGTTCAAACTCTATCATCTTTTTTTCCATTTCACTTTTCTCCATATTATTAACTCATTCGTAGCATTAATTAATTACTCGAATTATCCAAGAATGACTCTGGTATTTGTACTTTACCATTAAACTAGTAATTACTCACTATTATAAAGTTTTATTTTCCAATACAAATAAGTCAAAGAAATTATATAAAAAAATGGGTAGGTGCGCACCCATACCATACTTCCATTATACAATTGTATATAACTTTCTTACATGATGATGCAAGAATAAGAAAAGGGAAAGGTACAAAATAATTTAAAACAATGTATTATTTATACCTACTTGCGGGGAGTGGACGCAATATTGAAATTTCAATCTATGTTTAAACAGATAACAAATATAAATAGTGTATGTACCAAAACATCTCACTATTTGCAATTATGCAATTGTTGTGTACGATTATTCAATAATAATTTAACAGCAAGTAAATATAGAATACCTCGAATATTTTCTAAAAAATAATACTGATTTCATATTCTATATTATACTGCACTATAATTAGTAATAATGCAAAAATAGGTGCTATCTCTGTCGATTTCAATAATTTTTAGATACATTATCAAGGTCATCACCTTGAGCGATGATATAAAAGTTTCAACTGGTGTTCATTGTTTATCAAGAAGTTATTATCATAAAAAGTATAATCAAATGTACATCACATATTCCAGAAATAAACTTCTTCACAAGTTCTTTACAAGTGAATAAAAATTCATTAATAAAAGAACATGCATGTGCATTTCACAGGACAAAATTTGAATATGTGACTGCAAAGGGTTAACCATCTGTAAATATCTTTTCTATCTGTAAATGTATTATGTATAAAAGTGTTTAGAAACATATAGTACAGTGTACATATTATGGTCTAAAGATACAAAAAGTAAATATACAACATTATATAATTGCTTACTTTTTGATGTTACGTACACATTGTAAGTATCATCCGTCTTTATTCTTGAATTTCACTGCAGCAATTTTATAAATCACAATGTTTTCCATCTGTATTAGCAAAAGATGTTTTAAAAGTAATTTCAGTACTTTTCTAATTGCAAGATATTCAATAAAATTTATGATAATAAATTGTATTTGAGCTTCATACTTTAAAACTAAAAAAATAATCTGTTACACTTTTAATAAAATGCAAAAAAATTGTATAATATGTAAAATACATTATAATATAAAAAATATATAATATAAAAACTCGTATTAATGTACATTTCATTTTCATATGTAAATACCATTTTTTCATAAAGTAATACCAATCAGAAATTTAGATTCAATAACTTAGACATTGAAACTAAATTGTAAAATAAAACTAGTAATTTCTGATATTCTTGAAATAGTATAGTGCCCATCCGTCTATACAATAATCTGGATAATTGTCTCTATTTTAATTTGGATAGTTAATATAATGTAACAGTTTAATATAAATGTAATACTTTAGATATAAGAATTCTCTTGTGACTAGGTGTGACTAGGAATTTTGTAATATATAAAAGGTAACATACTATGATTAAAATGAAAAAAGATAATTAAATACTGCCATGGAAATACCAGAATCCTGTCTTAATATATCTACTCTCTCGTGTAATTATATAACAATTTAAAAGTATACATATATCTACATTTGATAATTGAAATTTCCATATAGATCTATATGATTTAAATGTAGATACCTAGAGGGAAAAATTTAGTAAATATTAAATTGTTGCAGTGTCAGGTAAAACAAAAGTAAGCTTCAACTAAATCCAATAATTTTCCTGGAACTTTAAAATTTATAATATTATTTGTAAAAAAATAATTTGAAATTATTTCATTTATTTATGTTCACGGAATGTAATTGAAATATAAGTTTATAATAAACATATAGCTTTTGACTACTACCGTCATTCTCATCATTTTTCACATTATGACAGCATTGTAACATTTTTGTTGTTAATATAACTAGTAAAATATGTTGATAAAATCTGACTAAACAAGTTAGGAATATCATCTACATTTTACATTGAAGAACAAAATAGTGTGGAATTGTAGCAAATAATCAGATGATTAGCATAAGACTGTCTGCTTATATTAATCAGTTATATTTGTAAGTTTAAGTACAAATTGTGAAAATTCAAGGAAAATTAAAGCATTTTTGGAGAAAAAAGGAATAACGCTTATCCTGAAAATATCGTATGTGAGCTCCGTGTGGTAAAAATGTATACAGGAACAAATAACATAATATGTATATACATATCATAACAAAATATTGAAGTAAAATGAAAAAATTTAACGTTTGTGAAGAACTAACCTCTTCGCGGAGGCGCGTACAGTATTGTGATTGCGCTCTCCGAATTCACGACAAAGCACCAGCCCTTTGATAAGGGTGCTCGCGAATCTGACCCAGGTGCCTACGCTGTTTCGCAGCGGCTGCTGCACCTGTCCCCAACATACAAACGTGTATAATTCATCTGCATCCACATGTATTAATCATTTTCCAGGCCTCAGCAAGTCACTTAAATACCGCTATAAACAATAATAGAGAATTAAAATTTCAGACAAGGCCGCGATCGAAACGTAAGCTAATACCTTTTCTTTGCTACATGTCTCATGGTCGTCTGTACTTGCTCATCATTTTCATTTGTGTATGTATCAGCGATAAAAATGATTATAATCGTTCGAAAATTTTTCACGCTACAGGCAACAATCAAGTTTTGTTCAATTAAATATTTTTCTCATTTACCAGTTTGCGTTCGATCGTGTCCTTCAGACTCGGAATAGTAAACAGAGTAGTATGTTTTACATGAAATAATGTGAAATGGGGGGCATTATATATGTGTATATATACAGGGTATCCCAGAACTCCTATAAGAACTGGAAATGAGGGGTAGCTGACACGTTCTGAACAACAATATCCTTTGCAAAAATGAAGCCCCCACCGACATTTTTGCAAAGGAAATTGTTGCTCAGAATCGTGTTAGCTACTCTCTGTATATACATACTTATATATATTATGCACACACACACCCACACACACCCACCCACCCACACACAAATGTTTGTATAGAAATGTGATATAAAAATATGTATTAATATGAAATATATACAAATAATATACTATTATAAAAGTTTTTAGAGTCTTCGCGCTACTATTGTGTAGCGTTTTTTTTTATGTCAAATGGTACAAGACAACATGGAAGAGGAAGACACAATTTTTTATAATAAATAAATTATTAAACGATAAATATCAACTTAAAAATGTTAGAATTTTTTGTACAATACAATAGTATTTGTAGCTCATATTATTAATTTAAAATTTATTGTAAATTTTGTACAAAAATTGTGAAACTATTTCCTCTTCTCTTTCTTTCTTACACCATTTATTTACAAGAAAATGGTCATAATAATATGAACATTCGATACATGATGCTAGTTATATATACGCGTAAGCTACGTGAAGTAATTCTTATGAAAAATATTGTAAGACATTATTACATTAATTAAATTGCAATCATATTTATTGAAAAACTATTTATTGTTTTAGCTGTTTTGTAGTTTGCGAAATATTTTTTGAACGTTTACAAGATGCGAGCATGTTTCTTAAAGTAGAAATTATATTTTTTTCCTAACACAAACATAAAAAAATGATGAGTTTATATTACATTACAGAAGAAACACGATTGTATAATACAATTTTGCTCATTGTCTTGTACTTCTAAGAAAAAGTGACCATTTTTATATCTTGCATATTTTGTGGGCTATTTGTTTAAGTATCTTTCAAACCAATTTAAGCCATTGTTAATCATAGAATTATGAAGTTATTTGCGTGTATGCATACATGACACTTGAATATAGAAATTTTCTGTCATATAATATTTTTTGCCAATTCATTATACATATTTACACACACGCGTATGGATATTAATTCAATTTATACACATATGTACAGGATATGGTAAAAATCTACTTCCACTTTCAACAAATTCCATACATCTAAATTCGGTGCGCTTTATATTAAAACGCAAATTAACAAATAAAATACAATTGGTTTTTATTTATCAATATGATGAAATTCTCATCATTAGACTAAAAAACAGGCACATTAACTTATGTTATTAACACTTATCGAACATTATGTATTTTGTAAAAACGATGAGTATTCGCAATTCGTCGTTCAATATACTTCACGTTTCGTTTTCAAACATTCTCATAACACAGAATAATAAAATAATTACAAAAATACAATTAAATAATTACAGATCAATATAAATTAATTTGCATGATTTTATCATTTTCTATATATAATACTTTTTAATAACCTTAACTACTTACTTAAATATATTATATAAATAGTATTTTTCTCGTTCTTACACGTGTCACATTGAACACTCACTTCTATTACGTAGTGTACAGTATTGATAAGTATCATAGAAAATAATTATTTGTGATGAATGAAACTGTATAATACAAGTTCAAAATTTATTTCGTGAGGTAGAATAAAATAACATTCTAAAGGATTGCTCCAGTTTGTGACACCAAATTAAACAACATTATCACTAGTGATAAAAGTATCTAAACTGCGGTCTATATTTCACGAGGGGACTCAAGGAGGCCAAGAGTAATGCTCACCTTATAATGGGCTTTTGAACATTGTGTTTGAAATGCTGAAGTTATTGATATATGGTTGTATGGCAGTATAATTAATAATTAAAAAAATATATTTTCATATTATATACATCTTACAATCTACACAACAATTTTAAATAATGAATTTTTTGAAAGTATTAATTATTTCTATATTATAAGTATGAGTTGTATAAGCTTAACAAGATTAAGTAACAGCTAAACTATTAACCATCCAACCATAAAACCATATGTACATATATCTTAGAGGCAAGCTATGTTAAGTCAAAATTTTGAAAATTTAACATTTTAAATAGCGACAAAGAATATAACATTAATTAAATGAGGTCTCATATTTATTCTTAATTTCAAAAATTTGAATGTAACATAGCTTGCTTTTGAGGTATAAACATAACAATACCTTCAACATTATAGGCACTACCAATGTTGTAAAAACCCGTTAAAAAATGGATACTACACTTAAGTTTGCTTCCTTTTCAGTTTACTCCTAGTCAATATAAGAAACGTTTAAAATGCAGTTATGTTTCAACATTCATGAATACATGTTACAAGTTTTTAAAATGTCACCCATCTGGTCCCTAGGTGTTATTTCTATACCTATGGTTTGCTTGGTTATATTTGTTGATCTATTCGTTTGTGGGTGCGTTCTGCTTGATTAGCGATAGAGACATTGTATGTCTAACGCAAAAGCGAAAGAAAAGAGAGCTCCTAATTCCGATGCAGAAATGCCCGCAAAAAGAAAGAAACCCAAAATAGTTGAAAAAGTTCAAGTCACAGATGATGGAAATAACAAAGAAAATGATGAAGTGAGTGGGTGGTGTCGAGAATCCACAAATAGAATCTAAAGCTAAGAAACGTCCTGAGCCTGCTCAGGCCTCAGGAGATCTTGGAGATAAGAATTTGAAGCCAGATCTTGCCTACGGAGATAAAGAAGAAACGCCAAAAGATGCAATAAAACAAGAAAATGAAAACGCTAGATGAAGAAGGAAAATCGTTGTACATACTCAAGTTCGGGTGAAATCGTTTGACTTACGCATACCTCTTACTGACGCGATTGAATTAGGGGAAGTTAATTAAGATGTTATTACCAGAAATTATTTCATAAGTCTGTAAATATAATTTCATAATAGTGGACGGAATATTGAAAGCTTAATAAATAGGAAATATTTGGTAATATTGATCCAAATATACATAAACCAAAGTCTAATCTATTCAAGAAATACACACATACACGAACTGTAATAGCATTACAATATAAACGGCCACAGCACTAGAAAGATCGGTAATATTAAAAAAAAAGAAAACGTATTTATAATAATCCTTTACATTATGCTATCAATAGTATTAATTTAAACTATGAATGGCCACCAAAAGAACAGAAATAGATAAAATAAGAATGTATGAAAATATTTATCTTTAATTTACAAAAGCATTTTTATGGTGTATAAAAAAATACAGTTCATACGTTTAAATATATTGATATGTTTCTTTCTCTATGACAAAATTATTTACAAAATATTGTTTATATGCCCAACAAATGAAAAAAAAATGTTGAGCATATTGTATCTTAATTTAATTTTCTCTTTTTTTAAATAATTCATTTTTATTTTATGCACATCAATCTTTAATTTAACTTCAATTTACTGGATATCCTAAAAATACAATTATTTGTCTAAAAATACAATTATAATTCTATACATAACTATGTAGTATATTATACATTATTTAATAACTTATACTGATATAATTATATACCTTTACAGGATTTGTAAAATCCCCTATTTGAAACAATGAATAGAAAAATGCGAAATAGAATTAATTATAAAATCTGAAATTATTAATTAATATTCTGTTTCCCTTTTACAATATGTAATACGACGAAATTACTTTTTGTCTAAAAGTACACAATAAGGGATTCCTAGTATAGAGAAGTAGAATAAAAAAAAACATAGATGTGCATATTTATATATATATAAATCATACTGGACTGTCATTAAGAAAGAATTGTACAGTAAGATTATACATAAATATATTAAGTATTCATTTCATTTTACTTATCAATAATGTAAAAATTTAATAAATATATATGACATCATATATGTATAACTAAGAAATAGCTTTACTCTTTGCTTAAAAAATTGTCATATTGCAAACTCAAAGTAACGTTCAAAATAACTTATACTTTGCACCAAAAAATTAAAAAATGTTTACAGATGAGAACAAGAAAATGCCTCAGAACAATTGGGATAATTAATAATAACTGTTTTTGTTCGAATATTCTCAAACAATTAAAAAATTAGAAGGATAATTCTTTTGGTTGCTAGAGCAATACATAAAATATATTGCTGTAATTATTACAATATTCATGTTATCTTAATCGAAGTAATTTAGTGATATTTTTTCAGGTTGAAACCATACTGTAATCTAATAAATGCACAATGATAACACAATTAGAAGTTTTCTAAAATCTACTGAAAAATTACAGGTTGAAAATAATGTTCTCTACTTAAACATAATATTGACGTTTCTAATACTTATTCTCATGAGAAATTGACTTGCTTCTGTTCATAATTTTTACCCTGTAGACATACATATTAAAGATAACAAGAATAAATAATATTTGATTTATTTGATTACTTCGTAAATATATCAATATATTAATGCACCAAAGAACCGGACATGTAATAACACATGCGCATTCCTTTTTTTCATTATTTGAAATACTATAAGTAAAATACAAAGTATATCATAAAATATGGCATGTTCGAAAAATGAAACATTTTTGAAACTTAAAATAAAGAAACAGACATTATAAATATGTATTATTTTTTTAGAACTAAATTAGATAATTAATTATTAATAGTTAACACTGAAATGATCAAGCTAGTTAAAATGGTCTATGCAAATGCACATATTATTTTTACTTTAGTGTTGTAATGAAGATAAAGATTATTTTTTTTCATCTCTGTACGAGTTCTAGAACGAAAATAAGACTTTTGCCTTTGCTTATTTACTTTTAAGAGAGTCACACTGACACATCCTAATGCTGCTAGTTTTTAATGTTTTGTTTAAATAAGAAAAGTGAACGTAAACGTGGAATGATAATGCGATAATTATTTCAATGTAATTTGCTGTAAAAACTGAATGACTTGTAAACTTTAGGTATTCGCCAAAAATCTAATATTTACTAATCATTTTGTTAATAGAAACGATTATGTAAATAAGTACATATGTAGTTGTCCCAGGAAACCAAAAAATTGTCATCTTTTAAACACGCCATATTTACTGAACACACATTTGAACTATACTTTGTACAATAAATAGTAACGAATGTGTGTATAAGATTTATTATAAAATAGCCGAGTATTTTATTGAAAAAATGATTCATCCTTTTTATCTGAGCATATATAGTATCTGTATTGTACGGATCGACGATTTGTATTGGTCGTATTGTTGTTCTAACTGAAGAAATGATAAATGAAGTTCAATGCCTTTCCTGTTCGAATACCGGCTCGAGCTAAAGTATACTAAAGATATGATCCTACATGTTTGGTATTTTTGTCTACCAAGAAATAATTCTTCTTTTTAAATTACAAGATTTTCCTGCTCATATCGTATGCTACATTATAGAACTCTATTACTTACTGTTAATTCATTATTTCGAGACGAGTATTGAATTAATTCTGATTATAATTAACATTAAATAATTATCAGAACTGACACGACTAGTAAATGATTGATTTGATTCTGTCCATATAGACATTAAATGTCATAATAAAAGTAGTACATACCAACTAACATTGTTACCTGCACAATTATCGAGTTATATATATTAATTTTTTACTAACCGATAATGGCCAAAATAATTATAATTTTCCTACTAATCTGTATATTGCTTTTTTTAGTACCTAATGATAAGTTTGAATTAAAATGATAATGATGATGATGATGATGATGATAATGGAAGATATAATAATAGCAATAAAAATCATAATATTTAACGATATGATGATCGTGATAACAAAAACAGTAATAATATCAATAATTTCATTAATAGCTTATAGTAATAAAAAATAATAATAATAATATTGATAATAATAAAATAACAACCAGTTACACATGCGACGAAACAACTGGTACTATTGAATATCATTACAGTACACACATAAACAGATATACGTATGTATGGGTTTTTTGGTTTGATTGCGGAGAACATTCCTTTTTATGTTACCTCAACCCCAAAAAAATCAAATGTAAAAAGAGTATTCTTATAACAATGGCTTGAATAATATCATTAAGCATAGAGTGCCCAATATACTTTCTGAGTAGGATTACTTTCTATAGAATCCTTAGAATTTCAAAGAAATGTTGTTTTTTAAAAAGTAGGTCTTGAGAGTCGCTATCAAGCACTAACAGAAAAATATGACATTCCATTTAATAGAATAAAGATGATAATTTGAGTATTTTCCTCACGTCTTGATCTAAAATGAAAATATTTTTATCGTTAGATGTCCACTCGAAAATTATATAATATTTATATTAAAAAGAGTGTTCTTGAAACTACAAATTTTTTGCATTTAATTACTTACTTATATAAAATTGTTATATATCTCTTAAACGATAAAGCAAATACTTTAATTTGTTAAAACGATGTGGTACATCTTCTATATACAGTATGTTCTATAATATGTAAGACCCATGCCAAAAACGTATAAAGCATTTAAAAAACAATAAAATTTGTTCATATGTTACATTTGACTTTGTTTCCAAGTTTGCTGATTTTATAACATTCATTGGATAATATTAATTCATTTTTATAACAGCATTATGCTTCAGAAATGTATAGTATTTTATGTTTGAAATAATATTAACAAGTTACTCTAATTGATAAATAGTCCATGCCCATCTAAATCTAATCTATGAGCTTGTAGAATGTGACTTAAATTCTACATTGCAAGGTAATCAATAAAGGTAAGCAGATACAAGATACAAGAACACAAAATTAACTATGACTTGGAAAGTAGATCAAATGAACTTATTCCTAAAGTGGATATCATATATTATGGAACACCCTGTATAATTCCAGAAGTTCTTTTATGTAAGCAATTATTTCCAAATAAAGAATTGGATTTGCTACATACGAGCTGAGTATTAATCGAGTGTGCCATATATGTAAAATTTTTCTTAAAAAAAAAAAAAAAAAAAAAAAACACTTCTGGATAAAGGAGATTCTCCACAAAGAAACGTTTCTCAAAATATCAGAAAACGCAGATATATTTCTTTTCATTTGTCTCTTTCTCTCTCTTTTCCTCACACATTCTGATATTTCTATTTCATTTATGCTGAAAGAACGAGGGAGATCAAAAAGCAGAAATAAGGGAAGAGAAAAATACTCATGGAGAACGATCGTGGAACTAAAATCAGCGAGCAAACAACCCACCAGAATGATCAGCAGTGGTGTATTCCGTGAGAAGAGGTGAGGCTGCCAGGGCTGCATAATTGGCATAATCGGCATATGGCGTGTAGATTAAGCCATGAGGATCACCAGCAGAGAGAAGAGATCCTGGTGGACCTGAGCCATTCAGAAGAGATGCTGCAGTTGTTGGGACAGATATCCGTGGTGAGAGAATTAACGGTGCTCCCAATGGAGCGCTGGGCGTTCTCATTGGCGTGGCTAAGCCTGGAAGCAGCCGCTGTGTTTCTGCTGCAGCTGCTGCCACACGTCTCCATTCTTCGTCGCAAGCTGAAATATCAAATGCTACACTGACTCTAAACTATGTCCAAATAAGATCTTCCAGAGTGCTTAGTTATTAAACCAAATAATACGAGAAACGTTCAAAAGTACCTCTAATTAGTAACGTAGAAACTGGAAAGATCAGTTCTAAGTTAAAAAAAATGTAGAAAATGTTTGATTATTACGGAGGCTGACTAACACATCCGCCATCTTTATATGCAAAATGTGACTGAAATGACTGACTACCATATAGGAATTTCATTTTTGGGGTGAGCAGACTACAATCTCAATGTTTGGTCGCTTATCTCAGTTATCATCAGGGTGATAGGGTATGGGTTAGGTATGAAACCATTTATTGCATGCATCCACTTCAATGAGTACTCATTTTCCTTATAAAGTAACAAGGAAACGTTTTCCTTCTATTATTTTGTTGTGCCATTTGGTTATAAAACAATGTAAATAACATCATAAAAACGCTATATGCATATATAACACGCGCAACGCACAATCATAGTATCGCCTGACAAAAATACTGCGGAGGAGTTTTTCTAATGCTTTGTACAGGTACGTCCCACCTTTACGAATTAATTCGTTCCGATTCTCAATCGTAAAACGGGAACTACTTACCTGTAAATTTGAAACTCTACGTAAGACTATTGTGCAGTCACTCTTAACAGCGTCAGCGTGGCAACTAACTGCGTAGCGTAAACTGGTATCTGCATAAACGCACGCGCACAGACGTACAGCTTGGCGGGTCAAAATTCGTAAAGCCGGGAATTCGTAAAACGGAAATTCGTAAAGCGGGAACTACCTGTACAAGAAAACGACTGTTAAGAAGTATACCTGTGGCTGCAGCAACTTTCATATTGGAATCCCGATAGGTACCGTTTATAATAGCGAGCTCCATTAATTGTCGTTTTTTAAGCTCATCCTCGCCATCAGCCTGCTAACAACCAACATGATTCATAAGAAACGTATTAATACTGACTTGAATAACTCGTAAAAGTTTGAAAGATAAATAGCAACTAGCATATACCTTCAAGTATACAAAAACTGAAGTTTTACAAATTAGTGATTATGTAATAGAAATATTAACACAGATACTGCTGTTAAAGGTTGATGAATTATACTACACAACACAGAACGAACCGGCACTGCGATAACATCAAAGCAACAACGATTTGGTTGGTAATTCAAATGCGTATTACAGTAGAACTGTCGGAACCGTTTGCGGTGGTACTTCTCATATTCGTCACTAGAGGGGATAACTAGAGGGGATTCATCCGTCCCCGATTCCTATGTACACAGTTGTCAACTGATTCCTGAACATCTTTGTATTTAAAGTACAACCTGTTAGGCATTAATAATATCGTCACTAGGGTTTTTATGCTATTACTACATCATTTTTCTCTCCCAAGTTGTCTCATGTTGTATACTATAGTACAGGCAACATAGAGATGAGGCGCAGGGAAAAACAGATTGCAGAGGTGTGACGTACTACCATTGCGTCTACGGCTAGAACGCACATTTACGTAGTGGTCGCCGTTTCTCATGTATGCATTCAATCTACCTCGACCCACTAAATCATTGTCCGCTCAATGTACAGTGAAGAGCAAAACTGAACCAATCATATTTAAATGAGTAGCTGATAAACGAAGTTCTAGTATAAGACCCAATTGGTTGGGTGCTCTCACGAGTGCAAACGTTTCTGTACCTCTGGGCGTGCGCCAGAATCCTCTTTGGAGAGGCTCTATATAATCTCTTTGCAACCGAGAGAAGACGATCACAAATACGAAGGGATACCGTCACTATGTAACTATGCGCCTTAGCCGTAGGCGCAGCGCTGATTCGTTTCACTTCTTCCTCTTCTTGCGAAGTCTCTGTACTCGCCACGGACATGCCTTTCAGCACTGGTACATTATAATATCTATGAGTCGCTGTGGGTCTGGTGCCAGCCCGTCTCATGTATCGGTAGTATATCTCAACCTTGACACGTTCACAGTGCCAATATTACGTATACAAATCATGGTGACGTCCTATTGGAGACATTGTGCCACCGAGAAACTAAGCAGTGAATGTGTTAAATATTATTAACGTTAATCAGATTTTAATGATTTTACAACACATTTAAGGGAGAAAGCCTACCTAGGACCGTCTTAGCTAGACTTCTCTTCTTAAAGAACTTTTAATTCTCGTTAAATGTACAATATAATCATTGATCGGTTAATTTATTTATCTGTGAGTATACATTTGTTCTCTTTCTTTAAATTAAATGGAAATGAAGTTACAATACCACTATTTATCGTAGTTAATAACAGGAACTTTCTCACCACGGGAACAAGGAGTTTCTTGACTTCTTCCACAGCTCTGGCAAGTTTTAACGTGGCACGATTCTCCGTATCTTCGACTGTCAATAGAACGTGCAGTTCATCCGTCAGATGTTCCCAGTTTGGTTTGCCGCGATTTAACTCTTCCTAAAAAAGAAATCGGTATGGATTAATATTGTGTTATAATATGATTTTCCACGTAACATAATCTTCCATTCGAAAATTGAACTTGAAGAATTTGAAACACAGATGGCAACATTGAATACATGAATTGTTAATATACATGTATTGTACTTACGATAACATTTTTTCTTATTCATCATATGCAGCTTGAAAACAAATATCGCTGTAGCAAGTAAGTGAAAACTCTATTTTCTAGTAAATTTTTCTTTATGAATATTAATGTACGTAAATTTAATACTTCTAAGAGTACAGGTGTAATAATATTGGGGCCATTTAGTACATGATTATGTATAAAATGGAATATTTTCCAAACTCTATTTTGCATATACAAGGTAATGAGAATATGTACCAAAATACGTGTTAGTTAGTTTGAAAAATTAAATTAAATTGTAAGTAATAAAGGTGGATACCTTCTTTTTGTCCCTCATGGAACCTTTCCCCCGGACCATTATTTTACATCCTGTTTCTTGCTCCAATTGTTTAGCCGTCATCCCGCGTGGCCCAAGAATTCTTCCAACAAAGTTGAACTGTAAAATAAGAAAATAATATTAAAAAGTTTATGGAAAAAATACTATTATTACAAATACATAACGTATAATATGTATTAGTGATATATTTAAGTAAAATAAATGCTCTGAAAGAATCATGTTTGAGCTCATTTATTGACACTACTCTCATGAAAATGTAACGAAGGCAATAAAAAAAAAAGAAACAAGTTTCATTAGTGAATGACTCATTCTCTGTATGAAAGAATTACTAATGCCTGCCAGCCGGTGATTATTCATATCTATTCAAGAGTATTAATCAACCACGAGTTCAGGTAATCGGGGTGATCAGTAAATACAAAATTTTCTTTTACCGCACTTTTAACGCACTTCCCAGATAATATAATATTTAATATATTTATGCATTTTTGCACAATCTCATACATTTTTCCATATTTCTAATTCCCATAAATACATGAACATCCGCAATCTGCTGACGAGTATTAAGTTCTACTTTAACATAATGTAATGAAAAGTAATGGGAGAAACTTACATCTGGATGTTCTTTGACGGGCACATAAACTTTCTCTGTTAGTGTCGTGATTTCGCCTTCTGGTTCTGGCAAAACCAGTGGTTCCTTTTTTACGCCACTGATTTGGAAGAGACTCGCCCGAACTTTTGCGATTTCTAAAACAGAAAACAGAAAATCTGTAGACAGGATATTTCGGATGGGCAGGACGATTTTAGGAAGTTGAAATAAAACTCTCAAACAAAGAAATTTTTCTTTATTTCGATACCTATTACTCTTCGTTAACTTTTAAAAAATAAACTAAAATAAAATAAAATATAAAATATAAAATATAAATAAATAAAAAATAACATTACTTTTCATATTCGGAAATATTACTTTTTCGAAAAACATTGATATAATAATCTGAAACTTCAAAATGAGTTAAGTATGTACATCTCCGTGTTAATTGAATATTTACAATGCATATAGTAACATTCCATCGTCGATGAAATATTAATAACAATCACGGTTCAGAATAAGTATTCATCGTACACAGTACTTGTAAGAAATTTGTCAATATTTTAATATCTATCGATTGAACCAATTAAATATTAATTTTTGACAATAGTTAAATTAGTTGTTAATAATATTTTTTTAAACACTGATCGAGAATACGATTTTTCTGTAATATTAACGTTTCGTCAATTCCATTGTCCTTGGATCGAACAAACTCTGCTGACAAGCGTCGACCAATCCTCGTTCGACCTTGCTTGGCTGATAGGTACCGAAGCGTCCAAGCATTCAGTTCTCGTGTATACTTCGGGCGATAAAGGTCGTACAGACCTCGCGTGTGCGCGTTGAGCCGATCGAGGACCAAGGCTGGCCTAGGATGACCAAGCCTGACTCAGCATGGCCAGGGGGTGACCACTGCTGACCACTGCTGACCACTACTGACCACTACTGACCACTACTGACCAATTGGTAACTGATGATCAGCACTGGTGAGCGAACGCAAATTTTTTATTTTTTCTTCATTTTTATTATTGTATCGTCATGTTAGCTTATATTTCCCTGTATTCTTATTACAATTATGTGTCCTTGGTTAGGTTTAACTGAATTTATACAACATTTTGTTTAATTTGAGTATTTCTTTACAGATTATTTTTTAATTTAATTTTCTCATTCTTACATATTTTATGTATAAGATATATATATGTTAATTTCTATTTTCGTATTAATTTTTCGTTATTTATGATTCTTCCATCAGGCACTAATATTACTTTAAGTATTTTATTTGGCATTAATTATATTTCCTGATTGTCCTGGTGCTTTGATTTCTCTTTGCTAGGTAGATTCCAAAACGACTCGCAATTGAATTGTTTCTTCGAATTGCTGCGATGGATTCATTGCTTCATATGTATTCATCGATGGAGTTGTATGTAACTCGATATTTTAATTAATAGTTTTCCTTTTCTATTATCAAGTTACTTCATTACATTACTTCTGTATGTGTATATATGTTCTGATTTTCAGTTTCTCTTATCTAGATACTTCATCGAACGAAGACATCGCATCCGCCGTGGGAAGCTTAGTTCTAAGCAGCGTTAGAATATAAGGCTAGGTTAAGCTTGGAAATTAGTCGTAAGTCGCGTACGAATATCTGTCCTCTGCCAAGTATTATAATTATTACCCGTTTTTCTATTGTTTGTACGGCCGCGCTCGGGGACGCGTAATTTCGTCCATTTCGGTCGTCATTGCTTCATGCAATAAGCAGAGTGACCAAACCGTGCAGATGGACAGAAAGGTCGGTTGCCGTCCTCTAGCTAGTCTTTTTCGAGAGACTCGCCAAGAGGAAACGGGTCTGACCCAGTAAGTCTGTCTGCACGGTCGCGTCGTGTTCGCGATTTCATTTTAGCTTCGCTTTCCCCTTAAAAAATTGGAAATTTTCAATAATTGCTTGGCAGAGGTCAGATCAGGAAATCGAAGGAACTTTGTTTCCTTCTATTAGGTTGTCCGAAAAGTTTCTTTCGTTTTATTAATAAGTAATACATACACAATATTTTATGTCTAACGTTGCATTATTGAATTGTGCACGATTCATTTTGCTCCATTACTGTTACAACATCGATATCTAAGAAATTAGATTGTCTATTTATATAAACACTGTCACACAAAATAATTGAGTGCAAATTACGAAAGAAACTTATGGGACAGCCTAGTATTTCCCTCTTCGCGTACTTAGTTTCTAAAATTGTACAGAAGGAGATCGAAGGAACTTTGTTTCCTTCTATCTCCCTCGCGGGTCTCCACTTGCAGAAACCTCCACGTGGTGAGACCTGGTAATCGGTATTACTCGCGACAAACAGTCATTTGTCGATCCTTTGTCGCGAGTAATAGCGAGCTAATGGCTGCAAACTTGTAATAAGATTTTTTAGATATAAAAAGCAGGTGCGTGGTATGGCACGTTTTACAAATGTAACTTCTTAGACTTCCCAGATATTTGGAAGATGATGCAAGGGACTTGCGATAGAATGATTTCGTCGTGACAAGTCTATTGCATCCTTTTCAGAATCGAATCGAATCGATTTCTTGACCATACGAATCGCCATGCCATACCAAGGTAATCGCTATTTTTAGCGATAAAGTTGACTCACATTAGTCTTTCTATCATTTTCAACGTTTCGACGCAAGAAATTTCGTCGTTAGCACAAAATTTGATGATCTTTTTACTGTTACATAGGATTTCATCAAAAAGAAACATCAGTAGAACCTCGACTGTTGTGGCTACACATTTCTGCAATAATCCCTATACTGCACTATCCACAGTCTTACTTGTTATTTAACGATCACCCCTTCACTTGCCAGTACCATGCAATGAATGGTAATACTTGAAATACCAGCTTTTTATGCAGTAATCGTGGTTCCGTACGTCTAAGATGAATGTGTGAACTCATTTGTGTAACAGAAATAAAGCATTCTACAGTTGTAACGTTTGAATAGAGTAAACGTTGATACAAAGGTGTATAAATGTTCAAAAGTATCTTACTTTGAGAACTTTAAATCTTTTTAACCTCAACAATCAGGCAAAATGTGTCTCTAAAAATTGCGACATAAGCATTGTTAATAACCAAGTGGTCATAGCAGTAATTTTAATAGTTCTAGTCTTAAATAAGAATTTTAGAGTTCGAAAGAACTACTACACAAAACTTGCTTCAATTCGGAAGCAAGGTAAAAGAAGACGAATGTACAGATGAACTTATTTCATCGCTTCTCTGTAACTTTTCTTCGGAGTAATGGAGAACACATCATACTCATAAATAGCTTGTACATCAGTAGTTCTCAACCTTTCATCACGTGTCAGGATGTAATTCCCTCTCTCCAAAAAAAGTTATCAAGTTATAATATATTCGACCTTAAACCTCTTAATTATATAATGTCTCTAATAACCAATAACGTTATTATCGATGACGATTGGCATCATCATCAGCCTGAAATATCAAAATAAATCTCTTGCAAGTTGTTTGTAGAAAAGAAAATTTGATCCATAGATGGTTAACATACAAATATATGATGTCTCACTTTAATATAGTATATTTTTTTTAGTTCTAAAACGTATTTCCATCGCAAGTGACGGTAATTTTGATATAAAAGCAAACGTGCACATATGTGACAATATCCCTCGAGAAGTTGAAGATGATAAATGAATAATTAGAAAACTTTAGAAAAGAGAAACTTCTGAACTGAAATTTGGAGCTCGTAACCGAGTTATAAACCGATTTCTTGCATCGTGCCAGAAAAAAAACGTCTACTTAGGCGTAGGCAGTGATGTTGGAACAGCGTTGGTCTTAGTATAGTTGCAGCATTTTATGACATCATCGATGTCGTAATCAGAAAGACAACGATCCATGACACAAATCACATGCTTGGAAGAGAAGATCATGTCCCGAGAAAATATACAGTTAAGCTGGGGAAATTATTTACTCGCGATTTTATATGCTTGCTAATTCGTATTTAATTTAATTAAACCATTTTTTAAAGAAATGGTTAATAAAATGTTTGTTCAAACTGAAGTTATTTTTATTTGGTACTTTGGTGTCTTCGCTGTAAGCCCACGAAAGCTCATTTTCATTCGTTGGCTAGTATAATAGTTATAATTCATTGAAAAAAAGGGTGTGACAAAAATGACAATTTTCAACATTTTTCAAAATCTTTCTAGAAACTATTAAATGCATAATATTGTAATATTATTGGGTTGTCCAGAAAGTTCGTGCCAATTTTTAAGAAAAATCCAAAGGCACATTTGAAGTTTGATATATATTTATTGAATTATATAAATAACATTTTGTTCCACGATCTTTCCACCTTTTAAGGGATGCACCCATGTTATGTGTTTTCAATCATTCCAATATAAACAGACGTGCACCACGTACCAAAAATCGGCACGGATTTTTCAGACAAACTAATATATTATACGGCAGAAAATGTTCAAAGTGCGTCAATCTCCAATTCTGTCCCCCTTGGTAGGGTACAGTATGCTAATCCTTTTGTTACGGAATCCACGAAGCAGGTAGCTAATCCCAATTATATAATAAAGGGGTTAGGGGAACCACCTAACATGCACTTTGACTCTTTTAGAACCGGTTAGAGTGTCGCTTCCCAACCTGGGTGGTAGCGCCCTCCAGGGGAGCGCTGGAGCATTTTAGGGGGGCTTTCAAGTGACTACAGACTTTAGGGGGATATCGAGTTGTATGCGATCATTGAAGCGTCAAAGTTTAATTTGATCAAATACATACATCGTTAATCGTTAAATGCTCTTATCACCATTGTGAATCTGATAACAGAAATCAAGAACAGTGGTTAATATTGCATTTAAGAAGGGGGTAATAACGTGAGTTTAATAAAGAAGTTACTATCCTGGATATAAAATGTACAAGTAGTTTCTCTTGTCAAGCATTAGGAACAATTGAGGTTTGATAGGACACACTTTCACGTTTCTATTTATTAGGTGTAAAAATTAATTCTGCATACTTAAAAATAATCTAATCCCTTTTTTTTGTCAACATTCAGTAATTATTATAAATACCTGCGATAAGAAATTTCTTTGGAAATATGCATTGATTCGCCTGCGTTAAGTTTTCGTGACTTACCTGAAACAAAAAAGAAAAAACGGGTTAGC